CCTCCAGGAATATTCAAGAAAGTTCAGGGCTGATGCCCTCGGGGATACAGTCAGAGGCGGCCCAAGAGCTCCTGCTTGAGTTGGCACACGTGAAGGGTCCCAGTCAATACCGAGATGTCAAGGGGAAAGACAGGTGGTGTTCCTGGTCCTTAGAGTCGCACAATGATTCAGAAATGAGTCACACAAATAGTTTGCAAATAACTGAAAGCTAATCATTCAATACCCGTCTTCAAAAAGAAACAGCTTCTGACGTGTATCTAAAACTTAGATAACTAACCTTTTTTTCCAGTCAGTACCAATATTGCCTAAGTGTCATGTGCGCGCACTGTTCTGGCTGGCCCGTGGCTGGAAGCATCCCATCCGTAGAGCATCTTCACTGTGTTTCAAGATGGAATCTGCGCTTAGCCATCCCTGCATCTGCTTGTCATGGTTCTTATGCTTTCTATTCTTTGTAGAAGTACAGCTTGGTCAATTATAATCCCTAAATTCCAGATTCTGACTTATTCACTACTAGGTCTAGTAAGTTATTCAGCCTGTCCCTTCCTCAGATTTTTATTTATAAATAATGGAAAGGGACAATGGAAAAAAAAAACACAATAGCACCCACCAGTATAGACAAAATGTTTTTTTTTTTTTTTTTTGGATTGGAAAGGCAGATTTACAAAGAGAAAGAGAGACAGAGAGAAAGATCTTCCATCTCCTGGTTCACTCCCCAAGTGGCTGCAACAACCAGAGCTGAGCCGATCCGAAGCCAGGAGCCAGAAGCCTCTTTGAGCTTTCCCATGTGGGTGCAGGGTCCCAAGGCTTTGAGCCATCTAGTACTGCTTTCCCAGGGCACAAGCAGGGAGCTGAGTAGGAAATGGAGCAACCAGATACAAACTGGCACACACATGGGATCCCAGTGCGTGCAAGGCAAGGGTTTAGCCACGGAGCCATTGCACCGGGCCCGGAAATGTTTTCAACTGTAAGTAGAAAGCTCAGAAAGTTGTTCCTATCCACAGTGCGTTTACTGTTGTTCTCCAAAGGAAGGCTGCAGAGAGAGATTGCAGTGTTTGTCCCAGGCTCTGTGAGCCCCACCAGCTGCCCATCACCGGGTGGCTGTCGGGGAGAGGTGGCGCAATCCCAGCCCGCTCTGCTCTCCTGTACAAGCCATGGACGCCGGCCTTATCCCACTTGCCCCACTCTCCAGGCTACTTCCCTTTGCACGTCGCTGACCAGAATGCAAGTCACATGGCCCTCCGCAGCTACAAGGGAGACTAGGAAACAACTGTCCAGCAGAGAAGAAGAAGACTAGCAGCAACAGTCCGATTCAAGCACTGGGTCATCAGATTCATTGTAAAAGTAACGAGGACAGAGTTCTATAAGCAAGAGATGAGTAACATGTGAGACAACAGCAGACAGAGTCAGCCTCATGGTCCTCGGAATAACTGAAGGTACAATGGCTTAATTCATGTAAACTGTTCAGATCGAGGCCTGGAACTAAGCAATGCAGTCTGCAAGTCATGCTCACCGAGCCCAGCACAACTGCCTAGCAGCTAAATCCTTACCTTACATGTGCCAGCATCCCCTGTGTGTACCAGTTTGTGTACTGGCTGCTGCACTTCCTATCCAGCTCCCTGCTTATGGCCTGGGAAAACAGCAGAGGATGTCCCAAAGCCTTGGGCCCCTGCACCCACGTGGGAGACTTGGAAGAAGCTCCTGGTTTTGAACTGCTCAGCTGTGCTCATTGTGGTCCCTTGGGGAGTGAATCAGTGGACAGATAATCCTTTTCTCTGTCTTTTCCCCCTTCTCTCTCTCTCCTTCTCTCTGTAGATCTGCCTTTGCAATAAAATAAATCTTTAAAAACAAATCATTATAACCACGATTATCAAGACTTCCAGTATTCTTGGCTTACTCATTCTCGCTGCTTCCACCGATGTCTATTTTTCTAGTTTCTTTTCTAGTCTGCCTCCCCTGTTCTTACTTAGAACTGTTAGGGCTTAACTTTGATCACTACACATCCAATGAATATGCTTTTTAGGGTCTTATTAAATGCATGATGCCACCGTCACCACCACACACACACACACAGAGGCATGCATGCTCTAGATGCACAGGGGTTAAAACACCATCCTATGTGTGGCCTCAAGTCCTAACTCCACTCCACATCCTTGCTTGCAACTGGTGCAAACTCCAGAGGACAGCAAGTGATGGCTGAACTCCAGTTTGTGGGTCCCTGCTCCACACTGTGGTGACAGAGACTGAGTTCCTGGTCCCTGGCTTCATTTGGCCTGGCCCAGGCTGCTGCGCTTGCCTTCGGTCTGGCCTGGCCCAGGCCGCTGCAGGCATTTGAAGACTGAATCAGCAGGTGGGAAAAAGATCTTTTGACCTTCGACCCTTTCAAGTCAAATATTCACACACATTTGGCGTGTGTGTGTGTGTGTGTGTGTGTGTGTGTGTGTGAAATACTAGGTTAAGCGTTCTACATGCAAGACTTTAATCCTTATAGTACTATTGTTTTCACTATTTCACAGATGAGGCTCATCTGGGATATGACAGATTCCAAAAGCAGCATTAGTGCAATTTTAATATACTTAACAAAATGAAGTAATTTGCAGGAGGCAATTGATGAAAAGACTGAAGTATTGGGTGGGTGGTGGTTAAACTTTCTTCTAAAGAAAAGCGTAGATGAACATTTGCCCATTAAACTGTTGGGTCATAGATCTCTTAGACGAGGCTGGAGGCTACGGTTTCCCTTCCCTGATATAAAGCATTACTGCACATTAACTTGCACATCATCTTGGGGATTTCAAGGAAACCTCAAGAAGCCCATCCATGAACTCCTGGGATTAGAAAACCACACACTTTACTTATTATTTGATTTTTATTATCTTAGCAGATTTCCTATTGAAAGGCTTACTATATTTACTACATTATACTTTAACAATGTTTAGGTAAAACTCTGAAAAACACTAAAGTATTAACGTTTTGTGTGTAGTTGCTGCCACCTGCTGGTCACACAAGTAAATCGCAACTTCATAAATCAATTTCATTGGTAAATTGTTTCGAATTAACTCAATCCTTGTTTCTTTTTTAAAAACGATTTTAAAAATATATTTATTTATTTTTATTGAAAAGGCAGATAAACAGAGAGGAGGAGAGACAGAGAGGAAGTGGCCCCAACACCTGGAGTTGAGCCGATCCTGAAGCTAAGAACCTGAAACTTCTTCCGAGTCCCCCACATGGGTGCAGGGTCCCAGGGCTTTGGGCCGTCCTCCACTGCTTTCCCAGACCACAAGCAGGGAGCTGGATGGGAAGGTGGCTGCCGGAATTGGAGCCAGTGCCAATATGGGATTCCAGCTCATTCAAGATGAAGACTTCAGCTGCTACACTATCGCATCGGACCCTCAGTCCTTGTTTCTGATCCCTCACTTTGCTTTCTCATCTGAATATATTGTAAAATACTACACTTATTCACAAGCTGTGCGTTTACAATGAATTGTTTGGAAACATTGATTTTGATCATCTTAAATGTATTCATCTCTTCCCTCCATTCTTTAGTGTCCACGTTAAGTTAAACTTCATCATGTCTATTTCACTGCCTTTTTAGCTGCTCTTCCTTTGTATGATTGACCATCACACCCTACTCCACATTCCATCAGAAATATCTTAAGCTTTGCTTCTATGAAAGGCAGCGTAATGGAGAGGAGGGACACAAACAGCAAGGACTCTCCCCTCACCTGTTTTATTCTTCAGATACCAGCCACACCTGGGGGAAGCCAGGCCGAGGCTGGGCATCAGCAGCTCCCTCCTGGTCTCCACATGTGCAAGCTGAACCCGGATTCCTGGGCCACAACCTGCTGCCTCTGAAGTGTGCCACCAGTGAAGTGGGTTGGAAGCACCCGTAGGACTCAGGCGTTCCGAGGCGGGAGGAGGGCATCCCAAGCTCCACAAGCTCAACCACCTTGTCCTGCCCCCGCCGAAGGATGCTTAAAAACAGTCCAGCCATATCGGCTCCCTGCTTCAAATCCATAGTCACCTCTGATTGTTGTAGGATTAAAATCTAGATTTCACCCCCAACCCATATTCAGTACATTCTCTTTTCTTCTCTCTTCCAAAACATACCACTACATGCCTTCAGATGACTCAAAGGGCTGGAAGAAAATTTGTCTTTCAGGGCCCAGTGGCATGACCTAGAAGCTAAAGTCCTCGCCTTGAACGCACCGGGATCCCATATGGCCGCTGGTTCTAGTCCCGGCAGCTCCACTTGCCGTCCAGCTCCCTGCCTGTGGCCTGGGAAAACAGTCCAGGATGGCCCACATCAGCCATTGCGCTCACTTGGGGAGTGAATCATCGGACGGAAGATCTTCCTCTCTGTATATCTGACTTTCCAACAAATAAATAAATCTTAAAAAAAAAGTGTCTTTCTCAAATTGGAAAATTAATTTTATGCCTTGAGACTTACATGAGTAGAAGACAGACATCTTCTATCTGTTGATTCACTGTTCAGATGGTCACAACAGCTAGGGCTGCTTCAGGTTCAAGTCAGGAGCTAGGAACTCCATTCTGGTCTCTCCCATGGGTGGCAAAGGTATGGGTGGCAATTGGGCTATTCCTCTGTTACCTTCCCAGGCACATCAGAGTTGAGCTGTGATTCCAAACAAAAGCTGCCAGTTCAGGGACTGAGTAAGCCTATGAACTTGCCAAGAACTGTGGTGGCTGATACTAACAACCCAGGAGCATCCGAGGCAGGCGGCGTGTGCTCAGTTTGCAAAATTCTGGCACAAGGGATGCTCTGCAAATCCGAATACACGGATGAGATTTGTGTAATGTTCTGGCACTTTCTCCGTGATTCGAAACCCACTACTCAATGGGCAAGCCTGTTGGATCGCATACAGGAAACTTCAGGTCATTCTCCAGAAATAGAGATCATCTTTCCTACCGCATACAGAGACTGTTAGAAAATCAGTGTGCTTTCTGCATTTCCAGTGGCTAAATATACCTTTTCTTGTTCATTTCAGCATTTCTATACAGAAGCATTCGAATGAATCTCGCTACATGATTTATGAGTTCTGGGAGAACAGTAGCGTATGGAACAGGTAAGTTTCGTGCAAGGTTGATTTTTACGAAACCAGAAAGGCAATAACATGGACGATGGAATTTAAGGACATTAGGACAAGGTTAAAATCTGTGTCTTTTGCTCATTATCCAGAATCCCACACGTTAGGGATTTATTCTGTGAATCAGAAAGCACCTCTGTCGAAGCACAAATACTTTGAGTAACGATCCACTGCCAGTGTTATCATGTTGCTGACCCTTCTGATGAGCAGGAGTTGTGTCTAAGGCAGGCAGCAGTGGCAATAAGCATGGAGAAAAAGATGGCAGCAAATAGAAGGGAGGGAAAAATCTACCTCTGAAATTGTTTAAGGTAAGCTCTGTGCTACTTATCCGCAATAAAATGGCACATGTTGGTACACATTACCGTAGCCCAACTACTTTTCTAAATGTCTTTAAACCAAAAAAAAAAAAAGGAAGTGGATTCAAGACACTACTGGGAAAACATTTTTTAAAAAAAACTATTTGAAATCTAAATTATTATTACAAATAATAAAATTAATTAGAAAAATAGGATGAAGAAAGTTTTGCTATGCTGAGATAACAGATAGTCTGAGATAACACAGCTCTCCAGAAGGCTATCATTTTAGAAATTTTGTACAGGGTCCTGCAAGCAAGGGAGGATGCGAAATCCAGTGGACGTGTTCCACCTACAGCTTTTATTGTTGTGGCTGTAATAAAAGAACTTTGTGCTACATCATAAAAGCAAAATGAGCTTTAGGTACAGACAAGTCCTTCAAGACACCCTTGCAAGTGTAAACGTTTAGATTACTTTTATTATTCTATAAGGAGACAAAATGCAGACCCTCCTTTTAGCTAGCCTACTTTTTAACCCCTAACAGCCAAGAGCTTATGTTTTAACTTCTTACTTCTTGCTAAACTTAGTCTACTTCATATTGTTTTAACCTGTGAATAAAAAAAATTAATGCTCCCATTTTAAAACATTCCTCTACTATTTCTGAAGACAGTTGTTAAACTACCCAAGCTTCCCCCCCCCCCCCACAGATACATAATCCTTAAAAGAAGCCTGTATCCAGGCACTTAATGTAAGTTGCACAAAGCCTTGCCACCTTCTTTTGATCTCTTCTGCACTCTACGGATAAAAATACCCAACGTTAACCTGTGATTATTTATGCAGCCACCTCCAGACGAATTATAGCAAGACATTCCAAAGAAGTAACGTGGATTTCTTGGAAACTCCAGAGCTCACCTCTACTATGCTTGTTCCTGGTAATTACCATAGATTCACAATGCTTCTATGTGCTTTTATCTTTTGTTTAAAAAGAAAAAAAAAAAACCTACATGCACTTCCCACATACGAGTTTCAACAGTACTCTTCCTTTATGGTTTATTTTTCTCTCAGAATTTGGGGGCAGGGAAGAGATCTGTGTATTGATTCTGCTGCCGTTGGTCCACAGCTGACCCTATTTGTATTCTGGGTTAACTAAACCTATTAGCGTTTATTTGCTGGAGACCTTCAAAATATTAACAAAATACGAGTCAAATAATTGTAATCCGAACATTATCCAAATGTTGTACATCACGTTTTATTAAGTTGCAGATTAAAATAAGTAACCCATAAACTGGAAACTAGAATTATGTAATGAATATTTATTGTTATGGCAGCTGTCAAAATAATACTTATAACTGGAAACAAGATGAGTGGAGATAAAAAGAGAAACGAAAATGATTTTGTCGGAGAAATCTGGCCTAGCTAAAACTGATTTAACTGAGAATCAGAATCCATGTCTTAATCTGCCATTACACTTACATAACGGTTAAAAATATAGTTATTGATGATTAGTATATACTTGGTCCTGAGGTTACTGGGGTGCCTAGCCTGTTTATGGGCGCAGGTTGCACTCCATGTCTGAACACTAGTGTCCTGGACTCAAGAAAAGGTGCCAAGCAGAAATGCAGTCCCTATACCACCTACTGTTTTCAGTTTGACAGATTCATAGCAAATACAAATGACTCCAGAAAAGCAGCCTACCACAAGGCATTAGCAGGAAACAGTGCTTTGTGGACTTACAGAGGAATCAATTACTTACTTCAACTAATTCAGTTTATGGAGAAGATTCTCTAGAGGGACCTAAAAGAGGAGACTTGGACAAGAAAAGTGTACTTCGGTAAATTTTAGACATGCCTAAATCAAAGAAATGTGAATGTGCTTGGCTTATGAGTATAGTCATGAGTAAGGCTCATAATATGGTAGACACCAACGAGCACAAAATGGGATTGAGAATGTCATGATCCCATACATGTCAAAGGCTTTTAAGACTGAGGAGAATCAAGATGGTGGAATAGGTTAAGGACACATTTAAACAGAGACAGAGAAACATTTAATCAGGATGAAGAAGAGAGGACACATTCCAGGAAATAGGAGGACAGAAAAACAGCAGAGGGGTGCCTGGAGACTGACAGACACAGGAAAGCAGCAGACACAATGGTGTGATGTTGCAGTGACTGATACTCCAGCGGCATTCAGCTAACGGCGATCTGAACTCCACCAGCAGCCAGAACTCCACCAGCAACCAGGTGGCAAAGGACTTTCACTGGGAGCTTGGGAGGTGAGCCCAGACAAAGAACTGTCCATCCTGCTGGTCTGTTTGATTTGACCAGGAGCAGAGACAGCAGCAGATCCCAGATGGGCAATGAGAGATCAGGGTGGATTTCACAGCCCAGTTTGCCTCCAAGGCAAATTAGACCCCATTTTGCTTAAGGAGGCAAGGATTGCGCATGCACTGAGCAGGGAGTGAACTCATTCTTGACTCAGTCAACTGCATAATACAAAGCACATACAAGAGTTCAAAGAATTTAAGGAATGTTACACAAGAATAGCAGCAATAAAGCAAATCAAGGCTGATATATCAGAAATTAAGAACACAGTACAGCAAATTAAAAGTACAGTGGAGAGTCTACAAAATAGAATGAAGCAAGCAGAAAAAAGAATCATAGAATTGGAATTTTACTTCTTTCACAAGGAGGAAGCAAACAAAAAGCTGGAAGCAGAGCTGGATCAGGCCAAAAAAAGTATTCAAGAATTGAAAGACACTATTAAGAGACCAAATATAAGAGTTATGGGAGTCCCAGAAGGTGCAGAAAGAGAAGCTGAGTTTGTAAATGTACTTAATGAAATAATAAGAGAAAAGTTCCCTAATCTGGAGAAAGAATTGGGAAACAAGATCCAGGAGGGGCACAGAACTCCCAACAGGCTTGATCAAAAGCAATCTTCACCACGACACATGATCATCAAGCTGTCTTCAATCGAACATAAGGAAAAGATTCTTAAATGTGCACGTGAAAAAAATCAACTGACATAAAGGAATGCCAATTAAACTCACAGGAGATCTCTCACAGGAAACTCTACAGGCCAGAAGGGAATGGAGTGACATATTCCAGATTCTAATACAAAAAAAAAAAAAAAAAAAAGTTGGCCTAGGATAACATGTCCAGCAAAGCTTTCTTTTGCCTTTGAAAATGAAATCAAAATCTTCCACAGTAAAGGAAAGTTAAAACAATATGCCTCTTCCAGACCTGCCCTACTAATGATACTTCAAGATGTTTTCCTGACAGAGAAGAGGGATAGTATTCAACAAAACCAAAGGCAAATGTGAAGAACATCCCAGTAAAATGACAACAGAAGACTAAATCAACGAACAACCCATTCCTAAAACTGCCAGACCAAATTAGCACCCATACATATTAACCCTGAATGTAAATGGCTTAAGCTCAATCAAGCGTCATAGTTTAGTAGGCGGGATTTAAAAACAAAACACATCTATTTGTTGTCTAGAAGAGACACATTTCACCAACCAAAATCAGCAGAAGTTATATCTCATGGATTTTGCTGTTTTAGTTTAATCTCTTCAAAACACTTTCTTCTGATTAAAGTCTTAAGTGACTCATAGGTCATACACTAGCATCATTTTCTTCAAGAAGGTTCTTGATTTTCTTTTTCATTTCTTCAGCTACACGTTAGTCATTTAGTAGCATGTTGTTTAACTTCATGGTGTTATTTTTTTTCTTCCAGTTGTTGATTTTGTTTTGCGGCTTTTCATTTAAGGAGATGTATAGTAGCTGTGTAATGGAGACTGTCATATCTAGTAACATGTTATTTAACTTCATAGAATTGTAAATTTCTATTTTTTCTTTTTATTGTTGATTTTGTATTTTGACTTTTCATTTAAGGGGATGTACAGTAGCTGTGAAGTGGGGACTAACCTATCCAGATGTGAGGACAAAGATGGACTCCCATTGAAAACTGTTTACTATATCTTGACAAGAGGATGCTGGACTCTCTGCCATTGTCCATGCCCGCAATGACCGACATATGACTGTGTATGAAGAACTATACTTCAGTAATGATATAGAGGAACTAGGTGGAAGGAGGGAATTGGGGAGGGGATAAGATAAATCCCAGGAGCCTATGGAACTGTATCATAAAATAATAATAATAATAATAATAATAATAATAATAATAATAAAAGATTAAAAAAATTAAAAAGAGTGACTGAGATATGCCAGAATCATTACGAAATGATTTGTAATGAGAAGACGTGCAAAGGCAGAGATGAAGAAGAGAGATTAGCTAGGCAGAGCGATAACCTATGCCGGACAAGCACCACTTAACCAGTCAGAAACCTGGAGACTCAACTAGCAGAGTTTGTTTTCAGGAGTTAACCACAGCAAAATCAATACGGGATGGACGGTGAGAGTAAATTATGGAATTAAAGCTTGTGAGACAGGATTTATGTTGAGTGCTTTTCAATTGGCTCATTCTAACAGCCTGAGCTCTACCTGTAAATGTATTTGTTGTAGATCTTAAGACAGGTTTTTTCTAACCTAGAGAATGGTAAACTTGATTTTTCACTGAACATCTCAAATTTAATTTTCATGCAGCAAAGTCATATATATGGTTGAAATTTCTCTTAATATGAAACTTTGCTTATACAATTTAAATTAAGATGCACCAAAATTTGAGGTGCAAGTGAGATCATGGAAGTACAGCTATTAAGGGACACTTGCCTTAGATTACTCCAAGAAATTTTTAGTTTTACCATATCAGGCCTGAACAGTCTGCTATAAATATGAGAGAAAACATGGAAAAAAACTTGAATATGACTGTCGCAGGCTCCATACACTGGGCATATCACCTACCCTGTGCAGTAGTACAAAGTTTGAAACAAAATGATAAATATTTACTAAATGGCTGCATATCATTATAAAGATATGTACTTTAGTCATGTGAATTCCTCAAGTCCTGATACTTGAAAGCTTTGTATCTGCTATTAGAGCCATTTTTTTTTTTTGCTGTCTCAATCCTGAAACCACTGACTGGTTCAGTAATACAGAAAGAAAGGAAAGAGCATGTTTCTTATATAGATGTTTTGAGTCTTTCAAGGATAGAAAACACCTAAATAAAAAAATATAGCAGAGAAAGAATATAGGAGGGAGGATTGGTGAGTACTCAGTGGGGAGAATTACTACAGCAGTATATTCATTATATTACTCGACATTTCAGAGCTTTGCTAGAGCACGAAAATTGTGCACAAATCAAACTAGATCAATTTTTGCTCTCTGAATTCAAATACGATTTAATACCTTTGAATGGTGTTTCAGTGTTGCACTATTTTCATATCACATCAAATTTCAGTAATGGGCACTACAGCCTGATAGATCAAAAAGAAGTCAGACTTGTTTAGGTTTCTTTTTTATTATTTTATGAAACAGTTCTATAGACTCTTGGATTTCCTGTATCGCCTTCACAAATCCCCTCCTCCAACACACTGATTTTCTCCCATATTATTACAATAGCATAGTTCTTCATAAACAGTCCTAAGTCCATCATTGCGGGCATGGACAATGGCAGAGAGTCCAGCATCCTCTTGTCAAGATATAGTAAACAGCTTCACTGGGAGTCCATCTTTGTCTGGGAGTAGACAGGCATACTACATTGTTTCTTCACATCTGAATATGATAGTCTCCATTTCACAGTTACTATGCTTGCCTTAAATGAAAAGCCACAATACAAAATCAACAGGAAGAAAATGGACATTCATAACACTATGGCATTAAATAACATGCTACTGAATGACTAATGTGTCACTGAAGAAATGAAAAAGAAAGTCAAGGACCTTCTTAGGATCCTGATCCTAGTGTATGATCTATAAATCGGTGAAGAATTTAATGACAGAAAAAAAAGCTGTTTTGAAGAAATGAAAATAAAAACAAGAACATCAAAATTCATAAGATATAGCTTCTGCTGATCTTTGTTGGTGAAATTTGTCTTCTGTAGGCAACAGATACATGGATTTTGTTATTAGAATCCAGTGTACTAATCTATGATGTTTGATTGATGAATTTAAGCCACTTACATTCAGGGTTAATATGAATGGGTGTCCACCTTTCCAATAAAAAAAATAATAAAAATACATCTTTAAAAAAATATGAATGGGTGGTAATTTGGTTCTGTCATTTCAGAAATGGGTTGTTCATTGATTTAGTCTTCAGTTGTCATTTTACTGGGATGTTCTTCACATTTGCCTTTGGTCTTGGTGGATGCTATTCCTCTTCTCTGTCAAGACAACATCCTTATCGTTTGCATGACAGGTCTGGAAGAGGCATATTCTTTGCGTTTTTTTTTTATTTTGGAAGAATTTTATTTCATTTTCAAAGACAAAGGAAAGCTTTGCTGGACATGTTATCCTGGGTCGACAGTTTTTTTCTTTTAGAATCTGGAATATGTCACTCCATTCTCTTCTTGCCTGTAGAGTTTCCTGTGAGAGGTCTCCTGTGAGTTTAATTGGCATTCCTTTATAAGTCAGTTGATTTTTTTTTTCACGTGCACATTTAAGGATCTTTTCCTTATGTTCGATTGAAGACAGCATGATGATCATGTGTCATGATTGCTTTTGCTCAAGCCTGTTGGGAGTTCTGTATCCCTCCTGGATGATGTTTCCCAATTCTTTCTGTAGATCAGGGAAAATTTTCCTTTACTATTTCATTAAATACATTTTTTTAAAGATTTATTTTTATTGGAAAGGCAGATATACTGAGAAGAGAGACAGAGAGGAAGATCTTCCGTCCAATGATTCACTCCCCAAGAGAGCGCAAAGGCCGATGCTATGCCAATCCGAAGCCAGGAGCCTCTTCCGGGTCTCCCACGCGGGTGTGCAGGGTCCCAAAGCTTTGGGCCGTCCTCAACTGCTTCCCTGGGCCACAGGCAGGGAGCTGGAAGGGAAGTGGGGCTGCCGGGATTAGAACTGGTGTCCGTATGGGATCCCGGGCGTGCAAGGCGAGGACCTTAACCACTGCGCCACTGTGCCACCGCGCCGGGCCCTTTTAAATAACATTTTTAAACCCAGCTTCTCTTTCTGCACCTTCTGGAGCTCCCATAACTCTTATATTTGGCCTTTTAATAGTATCCCTTAATCCTTGAATACTTTTCTTAGTTTGATTCAGCTCCTTTCCAGCTTTTTGTTTCACCACTGTGACAAAAAGTATCATCCAAAAAGTCTCCATAACAAATAAGGCAGAATGAGTTTCTACTGAGTTTTCAATTTGCTCCATTTTGTCCACTTCTAATTCTGCTTGTCTTTCAGTGTTGCTATTTCCTGTGTGACATATTCCTTAAATTCCTGAACTCTCATATGTGCTTCTTAAGAAGCTGTATAATGAGTTTTCTGAATTCTGTACCCTCCATTTCCTCGATGTATTCCTGTTAACTTTGAGGTTGGAAAGGCTTTTGTTCCTTTGCAAGGGAGTCTTCAGTAATTTTCATTGTGTCTCTGTCTCTTCTTTTGCTCTTGGTCATTGTACTTGTGGTTAGCAGATTCTTCTTGGGGCAGGTTTCTAAACTTTGTCACACACAGGTCTACAGTTTGACTTGACTGATTGCATTTGGTACCTAGTTCTTGTGCCACTCCCTCTGAGTTTCAGGTCTGGATTCTTGTGTCTGGCTTCCACCATGGTCTCCATAGCTCCAGCTCCTGGCTCACCTCTCTCAACTTCCTGTAATCCCAGGCTGTGGCCATACTGTTGTCTATGTTGTCTATACAACCTTTCTCCCACTTTCTGTTTGTGCAGTTCTCAGGATTAGGGAGATACCAGGTGTCCTAAATTACCAAGTTGTTGGTGGTGCTGATCATGCTGGAGCCTACTGGCTATTAGCTTTGAGGCCACCCAGACCTGTTCTGACCCTTAGGATACCAAAGTTGGTATTTTCCCTCTGGGACCAGTGCAATGCACTGAGCTCAGTGAGTTTGCTCCTAGCTTAGCACATGCACAGCTCACTGTTGTCCCTCCAGTCTCAGAGCCTTTGCAGTCCTGTTCAAAATGGTACCTTTTGTGCCACAGAGTTCTTGATCTACTGGCCATTAGGTCTGGGTAGTGCTCAGACCTATATACGACGCCACATTGGTGCAATACATTGGGTCAGAACTGAGTTCACTCCCAGCTCAGTGCATGCTCAGTATTATCCTAAAGCCTTTGCATCCATGCACAAAATGGTACTCGATGCAGCTTTGGCTGGGGGTCTGAGCTGTGAAATCCACCCTTTTCCTGCACTGTCTATTTGGGATTTTACTTCTCTGTCTCTGCTCCTGGTCAAATCAAACAAATCCTGTGCCTGGGTTCACCTCCTGAGCTGCCGGTGAACTCTCCTTCCCACCTGGCAGCTGACGGAGCTCCGACCTCTGGTGGAGTCCAATTTGCCATTTGCTGACTGTCACTTGGGTATCTGATCGCTGTTCTCATGTCTGTCAGTCTCCAGGTGCCTCTCTGCCATCCGTCTGTCCTCTCCTATTTCTTGTACTGCACCCTCTTCTGCTTCGTCCTGGCTAATGATTCTCCTCCCTCTGTTGAAATGTGTTCTTACTCTATTATGCCATCCTGATTTGCAAGGCTTCTTTGTAACATTTTTAGCCTGCCTGAAACCATGCTTTAACATTTGCTAGTTTAATTTTTTAGTTGAAAGATTACATCTGCTTATTCATTTTCACTCTGCACATGTCCACAGCCAGGACAAAGCGAAGCAGAAAGCAGGATCCCAGAGCTCAGTTCAGGTTTTCTACATGGGTGTCAGGGACATGCTACTAGAGCACCTTTTTTTTTTTGTATTTGGCTGCATTGATTAAAAATAATTAAAACTTTATTAATGTAAATGTTTAGATCTAATATTAACTACTGAAGCCTGAATGATGATATAGAAACTGTTACATTTATAAATACAGGATAAGGAGGTCTGTATTTCTTTTTTTTTTTTCTTTTTCTTTTTTAACTTAGTGGTTACATTGTCTTATGGGATACAGTTCCATAGGTACTGGGATTCCCTCCCAACACTCCCCCCATGGTGGATTCCTCCACCCTGTTGTGAGACCTCAGTTCAAGATCAGTTGAGACACCTTCACCGCAAGCATATACCAAGCTTAGAGTCCAGCATCTTATTATCCAGATAAGTTCATCCGCTTCTTGGGGAGACTTTCCCTGGTCTGTAGGTATGGCAAAGAGAGCAAGATCCCAATCAATTAAGAGCCCCAGCAGCAACAGTATATTTCATTATGGAGTTAATTGACATAGTATTGAGTAAACAATAAGTTAAAATTACATGTAAGTTCTTGACAAGGAGGTCTGTATTTCTAACCTAACTCACCAATTGTGATTTCTGACAATACTATCTTTATTAAGATTGTTAAGCAGTATACTTCAAGCGCATCTCAATAAATACAACAAGTAATCCAGACTACGTTTGGATATGACATATAAACTAAAATATACTTCTGGAAACTATTAAATGTGGTAGTCATTTACATAAGGCTTACAGGAAGATGGCTGTCCAATATCAAAGCCATCATAAGCCAGTTAGAACATGAGAGGGGCAGCTGCTCGGTATGGTGCCCAAGAAGTTCCTCGGGATCACCTGTATGACACAGTGATATACCTTGGTTCAAACTGCTTGTGCCCGAGGATGGATCAAGTGTTTGGGTCCCCATCAACCACCTGGTAGAAACAGACTGAGTTCCTGCCGCCCGACACAAAGTCTGTAGAGCATCAGTAAGCTGGTACGAGAGATACTGCTTCCTCTTCCCACATCCCACCTTTCAAATCAATGTATTTTTAAAAGAGTATGAGAACTTGGTCTTTGGGACAGAATATTCCTCAGCTTCTTGGCATAAGGCAAAGTTCCATAGTTATGAGATTAACCTTGTCAGCAAATTAGCTAATAATTTTGAAAGCGAATTTAAACATTTTCCATTTGCTCTCATAGCATTCTACCAATTATACTGCTTTACCATGGGTTTATCTTAGATGTATTTATATTCATTAAGGAAAAAAATTTCCAGTTTTACTATGTACACATATTCTAAATATATTTGCAACAAATTCTCTTGCTTATTTTTTTAATCTGTATGTAGCAGTATTTTAGAAGTTATATTTCCTAACTATGGTTGGTATTCCATAGACTAAAATAGCAAAAAATTATATCTTCAGAGTACTTTTTATCTCATTGTCAAGAAAAGCCCTATGTATTAGAAAAAAATCTTAACAGTACGTTGAAATCCTTAAAGTACAAATGATTGTGTATCAGAAATTCAGTCAGAAAGATGTGACTAGAAACAACTACACAGAATCATATAATGGTGGAGGGATAATGATGGTTTCTTTATATGATCTGCAACTTGAGCGCTATTTGTTTCCGAAGTTATTTTCATTATTATTTTTTTCTTCTTTTCAGCGTCATGGTGGATCCTGAACAACAACTAGATTTCCCTAGACAATTTTTCCCAAGTACAAAACAAGTGTTCTTATCTAAAATGTCAAACAGAAATTTTTGCTGTGGTTGTTTATCAACTGTGGATTATCGTTTCATGCATTTACTCTATGTGCACTGCTCTAAACTGCAGCCTGTATCTTTACCAGTTACGTGAATTGATCTGTTATCCTCAGTATTTGAAGCTCATGGTGTTGCTACATTGTAACCAATCTAAAACCATCAGGTAACAAATTCCTAGTATGTGATAAAAGCACACGCATAAAGTAATAACATTGTGCAAAAGAACTGTTATGATAAAAATATTTAAACTGGGAACTTTTAGAATAGGACTTTTGTCCTATTATGTAGGACAGGTTTTGTAGACCGCCACATACAAAGGGTAAATCGGTGTATTGTGATTTTAAGTAATTTTTGGTGTGTGATCCTATCGCTATTCTCTACTGAGTACTGAGGCATAAAACAGTCTTGCCTGTAACCTATCTCTACCCATCTCGAGGGTTTTAACCTGAGTTTTCAAAAGTGAGAAGTCTGTGGCAAGTTGGTGCGCCAGTTAGTCATGTATACCATTGTATGATCTGTTAGCGCCTAATTCCCCTGTGTGTGTTAAACATCTGGAGAAGAGCGTTTCACTTCAGGAAAATCTGGCTCAAATTCTATAGCATGGATTCCGTATGTGTTGAATATTATGTATAAGAACATCTCTTATTTTTTTAAAAAAGACATCTTCATTTAAATAAGAATTTTTAAATACGCTGAAAAGAAAATTTTATCCCAAATGAAAATAATAACAAAGCTTTAAAAGCACAAGACTTTAGAGGAATAATAAAATAGGGAAAGAATTGGGAGAAGACAACCTTTTGCCAGTTTCAACACTAGACGACCCTTCTCTACAAGCTCGTAAGTTGCTTTTAATGATAAAAATCTTTTTGTTTATACATTCTGCTAAGGAAGAAGTTAAGTCCAAAATTTCTTTGGACTAGTCCAAATTTCTCTGAAGTCACAGGGTAAAAAGTGTTTTAAATTTTCTTACTGTTTGTTTGTTTTTCTGTTGCTTGAAAACCTGATAGAAAAGGAAGGTTGAGCTAAAATTGATTAACTTTATATAAAACGTGACATATATTGTGTCAAACTAAAATTGTGTCAATATTAACTTCTACCAATATGTCTGTGTACTCAGTCCTCATTCAATCTAAATAAAATAGTTTCCATTTCACACAGATATTTTTAAACACACATTTTCCACACATCATATACATTGTGTGTATGTGTGTGTGTGCGCACGCGTGCGTGTGTGTGTATGTGTGTGTGTATGTGTGTGTTTGTGCCTCTGGCCAAACTCTAAAAATCACAAGCACTATCAAACACCATCTGGCTCAACTCCTTTAATTTATATACAAAAAAAAAAAAATTCATGGAGAAGTACAATGATTATTCAAAACTACACATATGTACACAGGCAAATAGATAACACACAGTCTTTGTGGTCTCTAATTCCAAACAGTAAGACAGGAGCAAAAGACTTTAAAACCTAAGAGACTTTTGACAAACTCTTTTTGGAAACACTGGCTGCAAATGGTCCCAGAAATACAAAGCCAATCAAAACGTTGCTCTGGTCAGTCCATCTCAGTATTCAATCCAAAAAAAAAAAAAAAAAGTTTGGGGTAATAGGCAGTTTCCAAAGTAACACGGCAGTGTGACTTTAAAAGGGTCCTGCCCTGAGAAACAGCGGTAAGTGGAAAGGTTCTCAATTCCAAATTACGACAAGTTATATCACAGTCTTACACTAGAATCAAAAGAATCTGATGATAGTCAAGCAAACTTAATAATTCTAATCTCAGTTCATATAAATTATATATTTTGGCAATTTGAATGTGTATATATTTGCATACATATATATTGAAGCGTCAAAGAAAAATAGTAGGGGAAAAGCAAACAATTGGGCTCTAAGCATAGAGTTCATTTGAAAACAAACAATACATTTATAAAGTCGCTAAATTTTTTTTTTTTTTGTATTTTAAAAACTACCCATTTTCCTAGGGAACAAAGAATGAGAAAACAGATAAAAGGTACTTGAAAGGCAAAGATGGGTAAATTATCATGGAATAAATACTTGAAATCTGGGCAACATTCAATTAGGGAAGAAAAAAGCAGGTATTAATTTTGGGAGTTCACAGTTCAATGAAATGGTGAACTTGTACTAGCTGTTGGCCTTAAGTGCCTTGCCAGTGGACCCAGAGATCTGGGAGAAGAGAAGCAGGGAGAGGATTTTCACTTACCTTTACATCAGCAATTTTTTTTTTTTGGCATTGTACTGAAAGAAATCTTTCTACTGCAACAACAGCCAGAGTGACAACTGGAAGAGACTTATTGTAGAACATTCCTAGAAATTATATTTAACCCCCCAAATTCTTCATCCACACATTGATGATTGAAACTTAATGTACCGTAATTATTTGCAAATGTCTAAACTTTTCTGCTTTCGGATATAAAATGATATCCGTTTTATTTCGTAACTGCTCAATTCCTACTGGAAATATGGTCTGATTAGTCAAGCGTAGCAGAGTTTCACTTCAGTTTTATTCACTGCCACTGTTTCCGAATAGCCAATCTACTAGGAAATATGAACCTGAGGTTATGTTATCAAAAACCTAGATACTAATCATAGTTATGTTTTAAAATGCCTACTGAAAAAATTCTCTTTCTTGTCTTTGAAAACTAGCCATTTAAGATTTGGAATCATTCTAAGCCCTGGAGGGACTACAAGAATCCAAGTGCTGGTATGGAATCAGTGGGAACCAACTTGAAAAGAAAATTAACTATAAAAGAAATTATATACCATATATACATTGTAGCAAATGCTTTATATTTGAGAATCTTTACAGCTTACATGTCCATTCCATTATTACAAGTGATGAAGCACAAATGTTGCAAGTAGCATGCAAATTACAATCTTCCCAGTTCACTAACCAAATTCCTATTTTCCAGTGTTACTTCGCAATTTATGCAGGAAACTGCCTGCAAAGCTGAAATTGATTAGAAAATTCTTTATAGTGTAAAATATCTTTCTCATTTTAGGAGAAACCAAATAGCCAACCATCAAAATTAAAAATAAAATGAATTGTCACAGTCCATTATATTTATTGCTACTAGATCCACTTCATTTGCAGGTGTCCAAAATATAAAACAAATAATTCTTTATCTTCAAATTCATCTGTTCTTAAAGCACTAGTTAAAACTTTGGTTGTTTTCCTGTAATACAAGAGAAATTCAATTAAATATAGTTTTTACTAGGTAGTTTATCAAATGAAAAAACACTTAGTGTTTACAGATTGAAATGCATGCTATTATAGACTATTCAAACAACTGCAATTCTCAAATGAAACATTCCATGTTTTAAAATATATATATACTTCGTTTTAATATATTAAATTGTATTCCAAACCTGTTGTTCTGTTTCTGTGATACATCATTTTTTAAAAATGTTAAGTCATAAATCAAAAGAAGCTTAACTATAATGCAAACTGATATATAAGTTTGTTCAGGAAAAGTGTATGTCAAACATGTACTTAATAAAATGCTGTTAAAGGTGGAAAGTGTTTTTAAATTTTTAATTACTTCTTATGTGATAGGCAAGGTGAAAACTCTCATGTTCTGGTCCACTCCCCACAGACACAGGTCAGCAGGGACTGGGCAGGGATACAGGAATCAGGAACTCAATCCTGGTCTTCCGTGAGGGTGGTAAGACCCCAGCTGCTGGGAGGATCAGCACTGCGGGCTGGGGTCTGCATCGGCAGGAAGCTGGGTCAGGCAGGAGCCAGGCATTATGATATGGGGCACAAGGTGGTAAGTGACCTCTTAATCACTAGGCCAAATGCCACCCCTGAAAACAGAAAATAGTTAAAGAAAAAAGGGACCACATTTTATATGGCACTGAAGTTTACATTTCTTCTCACAAAAATACTTATATCTACAATATCCTTGAACAGGCAGGGAAATTCAATAATCAGGTGCATTTTTCTCATTAAATATTCTGATGAGATATGTGAAAAAGCATTATATCTTTTTGATTGGCTAAATGTCCAAAACAATTAAGCAATTGAGGGACTATTAATATAAAGTATGAACAAACTTTTAAAAAACTATAATTGAGACAAAATTATTGTGGATCCTACGAGTTAAGAATCCCCAAAATGGAAACAGGAGATGTTAGTCTATATCTCATATTTGATCCATTCTCTGGCTATCTATATATTCTGATTCTAATCTCAGTATAATACTGTCATCTTTAGCTTTATAAAACTGTTGAATTGTTTATAAAACAATTCAAATATAGTCAAATATAAGTAAAATGCAGGAGACACAGAAATAATTTCTGAGTGCATCACGAGATAGGTACCCCAAAACAGCCAAAGCACAGAGTGCCACAAGAGACAGGACTCATCCTCTCAATTCTATTGAATATCTCTGAATATCCAGAGAGGAAAAAAAATAGTTTGGCCCCTATTTCATAGGGTAAAATTAATTCAAGTGTTCTACAGGTAGACTATGGAATTTAATAGGAAACACAATAATCTTTAGGATGCAATACTTTTATCACCTTTCAAGGGAAAATACTTCATAAAATTATTCTACTTCTCAGAGTGATAATTATAATTTGCTATGTTTATGCTCATACATGATGCTTAGACATTGTTATATTTTAATTCAGGTTTATGTTTTTCTGGACTGTATGTCAGTAAAAATATTTCAGTCTAGAGATAAACACTCAAATAAAAATACTAAAGGTCAGAAATTTGAAAATGCATTACTAGAGTATAAAATTAGGAAACTACTTACTGGTTTTTTAAGTACAATGGGATGATCAGGCAGAAAATCTGGTTTTTTTCTGCAGATGGAAACACTTGAGAGCTTCAACAGGAAATCTCTGCTGTATTTAATTCTCTCTGTAGATATTAAACATAAAATGTAACCCTACAGAGCATAATTCCTCTTGATCAATTTTGACATTTTTTTGGATGTCACTTAACTACTCATTATTACACAGTTGATGACTAGTATATGCAAAAGAAAGGAGTTTTGAAAAATATAGTGCTTCCTTGGGCCCGGCGCGGTGGCGCAAGTGGTTAAGGTCCTTGCCTTGCACGTCCGGGATCCCATGTGGGTGCCGGTTCTTATCCCGGCAGCCCTGCTTCCCTTCCAGCTCCCTGCCTGTGGCCTGGGAAAGCAGTCGAGGACAGCCCAAAGCTTTGGGACCCTGCACCCGTGTGGGAGACCCAGAAGAGGCTCCTGGCTTCGGATCGGCATAGTATCAGCCGTTGTGCTCACTTGGGGAGTGAATCATCGGATGAAAGATCTTCCTCTCTGTCTCTCCTCTCTGTATATCCGCCTTTCCAATAAAAAAAAAATATATAGTGCTTCCAATTTTCCTTTTATATGAAAATGAAGTAAATAGGAGGAAAAGGAAGAAAGAGTATTTGAGACATTTAGTAAAGCATGACTGATAATGTCTAGTTATTCAGGTATTATAAAACAATCTGGTGTTACGAAGTGTAATAGGAGAAACACCTATTGGCCAATTCAGATTCTGTCAAAATGGAATTTTAATAAACCTACCTAATATCAATACTAAACATTTCAATCAGAAAATTTCAATTCAGGAAACATTGTCGGCCTGCTATTCACTAGGCACTGCTGACCAAGACCTGAGAAGGGCAATGGGCTGAGTGTGCCTCATCTGAAATGCCAGGGACCAGGCACAGGGCAGAGTGTTTCCAGTTTTAGATAGACTTTACAAGTTGAGCACCCCTAACCTGAAAACTTTAAATTCAAAATGCTCCAAACTGCACATCTTAATTGTGTCAAATAACACTAAAAAAAAAAAAAAAAAAAAAAAAATTGGGGTTTCAGAGCATTGATTCCAGACTTTCAGTTTAGATAGCTCTGCAGATTTCTTTATACCAGAAACTTCAACCAGAGGAGCCAGCATTTGGTACAACAGGAAAAGCCACAGCCAATGGCACCGCTGATATCACATATGGGAGACAATTTGTATTCTGGCTGTTCCACATTTGATATACCTCACTGCTAATGGCCTGGAAAAAGCAGCAAAAAATGACCCAAGTGTCTGGGCCCCTGTAGGAGACCCAGGGGAAGCTCTTGGCTTCAGCCTGGCCTGGTCCTGGCCATTTGGCTGTCTGGGGGTAGACCAGTGGATTTAATATATCTGTCTGTCCCTCTTCAAATAAGTAAGAAAAAGCAATGATCACCTGAAGCTATCACTAAGATAAACCAAATGCTGATCCAGAAGACAGATGGAACAATATTTTTTAAGTGCCAAAGGAAAATAATGTCCAAGGAGGGGGTGTGGGCACTGTCATGAATGCAGGTGAGTCAGACATTTTTCAGATAAATGAAAATACAAAATGTATCACCAGCAGACCTGAAGAGCAGGTCTCAACATTTCTAATGTTAAACGAAGTTCTTCTAGACACAGAGTATCCACTTAAAACATAAAGAAATGCAGAGGGGAAAATCCAACGGACAAATAAAAATGCTGGAAAAGAAAATCCACAGCGTGGCAAAAAGGAGAAAAGGAAAAGCAAACAAAAATTAGAAAAGACTAACAGAAAAAAAAATTCATCTAGTGGTAGGCTTTTATCTAGCCATATCAACAATCACAGGATGTTAATGAGTTAAACCAGAAGAACCAAGTAGCAAACGTCTGACTTTGGGACCTACAATCTGTCAGAACTAGCCACTTTTATCTCACAGACACTAAGAAACACCAAATGCATAATGCATAAACAGAGGGTGTGGCTCTACATCAATAAACTCCGTTTACAAAATCAAGCTTTTGGAAATGTGTTTGACCCAGGGGTTCACCTGCAACCTTCTTTAGAGTGCCTGGGTTTGGGTGCTGGCTCCCAATGGGAGTGCCTGGGTTTGGGTGCTGGCTCCACTTCCAGCAGCAACCGCCTTGCTAATGAGCACTGGGTACACAGCGGTGGGTGGTAGCTGAAGTACTTGAGTCCCTGCCATGCAAGAAAGGACATCAATATATACCATTAAAAACAAAAACAAAACAAAACAAAAAAAACAGACATTTGGGGCCAGCATTGTGTGATGGGTCACAGCTCCAGGCTTCAGTACAGTTTAGCTTTGACTGTTGCAATCATCTGGGGAGTGAACCAACAGATGTAAGAAACCTCTCTCTCTCTCCATGTCTGTCTCTTTCTCTCCCTAGGTAAATCTTTTCTAAAAGACCAGACATTTGAAAGCAATTCAAATGTTTAGAAAACATAAGGGCAAAGTACTAGTAAAAATGTCTAGTAGAGTTTGTTTAAAAACATTATAAATTTCAAGCTACAAACATAGCTTGAAAAAATTAAACAAGCCTAGATTTAATTTTTAAAAGGAATTGGAGCGATGTGCCCCTCAAAGCTTCTGCCCCCTCTCCCCCAACACAGACACATCACTCTGCTAGTTCATTCACATGTAATAGTAGGAGGTGAGCCAAGGCTGCAATGAGGAACTCAAGCCAGGACTTCCATGTGGATGGCAAGGACCCATCTATTTTACCACCTGCTGCCTCCCAGGGTGTGGGCAATAAGCTCCTTGGTCTCTGCCTGTTACCCGGTGGGTGTGGCTTAGAGCTTACCTGCCCAAAACCTGAGTCACAGCTTCCAGCCCTAAGTGGAGTGTGACCTACAACATGACTAGAAGGTCAAGGGAGATAGACGTGCCTTATAGCCAATCACAGTGACTTTGCTGGGTGGGGGGCTGCCGGAAAACACCTTCCCCTGCCCTCTCTGCCCCCTTCCTTAACCTTTAAAACCTGTAACTTGTGCATAATAAAGCAGACATTCCTTACCAGCTTGCCTCCCCTTCAGTGACCTTAAACCTGCTGGTAGGTTTAATCCCCCACCACCACCCACCCCCCAGATTAGGGAAGACCCCAGTGGAAAGCTGGAATCAGGAGCTAAACCAGGACCCAAACCTAAGTATGCTGATAAGGAATGCAGCTGCACAGGCATCTAACAGCAACACCAAAGACCCATTCCCCAGGAATGGTAACAGGCTGGCTGCAGAGGAGGTCATAAACTTAGATACACTTTGTCACAGTGCACAGATGGCTCCCATCTGGCAACTGGCTGTGAGTAGAGGTAAAATCTTCAATTCCAGGGTCCTACCCTTAAGGAGAGCTTCCTTTCCACCCCCCCGTCTGCTTACTAAGGGTTAGAGCTGAGGCAGTTATCGTGAGCAATGAGATGGAATTCATGTGTTGAAGATAGCAAAGTAATAACCAAGAATACTGAGGCAGTAACAACTTCATAAAGTAGAACCAGCAGATCAACTCAGAATTTTACAATGTAGAGAAAATAGAAATAGTTGGAAACAGATTTGCAGTTCCTAAAAGAATTGAAACTAGAACTGCATATGACTGAGCAATGCAACCACTGGATTCTTCTCCAAAGGAAATGAAACCAGCATACTGAGGAGCTATATTCATCCCAACTTTTACTGCAGAACTATCCATAATAGCCAACATATGGAATCTTGAGTCCAAAACAAGAAGTTTGATACATACGTATACACATACATACATATAAGGAAGAAAAGACTACTACTGGGGCCCAGTGCGGTAACCCAGCGGCTAAACTCCTTGCCTTGTACACGTGCCGGGATTCCATCTGGGAATGGGTCCCCACTTCCCATCCAGCTCCCTGCTTGTGGCCTGGGAAAGAAGTAGAGGATGGCACAAAGCCTTGAGACCCTGCACCTGCATGGGAGATCCAGAAAAAGCTCCAGGCTCCTGTGTTCAGATCAGCTCAGCTCGGGCCATTGCAGCCACTTGGGGAGTGAATCAGCGGACGGAAGATCTTCCTCTTTGTCTCTCTCCTCCTCTCTGTATATCTGACTTTCCAATAATAAATAAATAAATAAATAAATAAATAAAGACTACTGCCACTTAGCCATTAAAAAAATGAAACCCTTTCATTCTGCAGCAAATACACTTGAATTACATTAAGTAAAATACTCCAGGCATAGAAATATGTGATCATGCCATACAATCTGGTACTTCTGTGTAAAAAGGCTGATCTAAATAAAAATAAAAAATAGGAGAGTGACTTGGTGTGGGGAAAGATAACACGAGATTAATGTATACAAAATAATTGTTAGTAGGGGAATACACTTGATGTTCCTCAGCAAAGTGGGAAAATTACAGTTATTAACACTGGAGTGCGTACTTCAAAACAACTAGAAAAGTTCTGAATCTTGCAAACACAAAGAAAGGATAAATTATGTCATAAATTGAATGCTGCGACCTAACCATCACACGGTTCATACATGTGTTGAAACATCACACCACACCTCATAAATACAAATAAGTATTACTTAAAATAACATAAAACTATAAAAGAAGAAAGTAGAGAAACTAACTTCTATCTTGCCATTTCCTTTCCAGAAGTCAAACCAACAGCCTAATATTCACAGAGAGGAACGTAAAAGAATACAGCAAAAACCCTGCACACACAAATGTTCAGCAAAACAAGGGAACAATATCAAGTTTATAGGAGTGTTGTCATTTGGTGGTGAAACGTGAGAGCTATAATGAAATCTTACCTTTTTTAACTGGAGACTGATGTTGCTGCTGTTCAGTAAGACCTTGAGAAAAAGTTTGCATTCCATTCGTCTTACACTAGAGAATAAAAATACACTCATTAACTCAAGTTAAAACCCTTCACACAATGTTCTTAACACCCAAAATAGTTTTCTATAAAAAAAAAATTAGTTAAGCTATATTTGGGGAATAAAAGATAAGCAATCACTCTAAGTCCGCTTATTAAAAACGAGCAAGAAAACCCATCATTCTGAACACATTCACAACACATTCACATATATCTGCAGCAATATTTTGTCATAATTATATTTTTGTAAATAAAAGTCTGATGATCAATTTGAAAATATATGCAAAGAGTTTACAAAGAATTCGTAAGGGAAATGCATATTTATGAAAAAAGTTTCCATTTTTACATGAAGGCAAATATCTTTTAACTTCATTTTTACATAAATTTTTCTACATAATTTTATAGATGAGATTTTTGGGTTAGTTTTTGAAACTCAAGGCCATCAAATGTAGTTATGAAGACTCCCCTTCCATAGTTTAAATAGTGTAGATTTACTAGACATTTTAGATGGAAGCACAGCACAGTATTCTAACAAAACCGTTTGTCTTATCATTGTGTTTCCCTTCTGATATTCGAATAGGTGGCAAGCAGGTGGTAGTGCATCTGTGGAACCCATTCATTAGCACGAGTGCCTATGGCAATGACAAGCACTTTGCTCTGTATCAGAGATAAGCACAAAATTGAACACCACACTAACATACCCATCTTCACATTTAAAAGCCAAAAAGTAGACAGAAAATAAAATGCCTAATAAGATTTGAGAAGCTCTAAAAATTACAAAAAGTTCAACAGCTGTATTAAACATATTAAATCAACTTACGAATATCAGGAAAGGCTTTTGCTAGGACGTAAAGGCCTACACAGATACCTCAAGGATTAGTCAACCTGGGAAAGCAGTGGCAAATGCATGATTACTGAGGAACAAGGGATGGTGGCACTCTTCAGTAAACGGGAAAAAAGACTAGAAGCTTGAGAAAAGCAAAGTACATACAAGGGGTTTTGGTGTGGTTTCTTGTGCGTTGTTTCATTGTTTTTTTCCCCCTCCAAATCAAGTGATTGTGCAATGTATGCACACTCTTCTATATGCATTTCCAGAAACTGTCTTTATGGCTTAGACCAAAAATGTTCCCAGCCCCTAGCCACTCATCCCAAATACATGCCACCAAGGGAAGAGAACAGAAAAAGACAAATGTACGTAAACCTACATTCCTGGAAAGAATATCTAAACCGTAGGAGATTTACAAAGAAGATCAAAAGACAAAAGGTGAAAAGGTAGGGGGAACTGTAACAAAGAACTTAAGGAAAGGGGCTAAGCAGGAGGCATGGGCCCAGCCATTAGACACTGCTTGGGACACACCTGTATTGGAGCATCTGAGCTTGCTATACTGTGGCTGCTCCTCACTCCAGTTTTCTGCTAAAGTAGATACTGAGAGGCAGGAGTGATGGCATTCATGCCAGCCATGGGCAGACCTGGAATGAGCTGCATCTCCAGCGTAGGGCTTCAGCCTCAGCCCAGCCCCATTGAGGCCCTTGGGAGATGAATCGGCAGATGAGGGCACAGATGGGATGTATCTCTAGTTGTTTATCTCTGTCCTCCCTCCAGTAAGTAAATGTAAAGCTTTATAGAGAATGAGCAAAGGAAATGAACTGATAATACAGATGAGGAAAATCCAAATGATTTTTAGATCAAAGACAGTTATAAATCCTCAAAACTTCTATTAATAAGAGGTTAATAATTTATCCAGCCTCTATGACTGCCACTAATAATCAAATTAGCAGAAATGAGCCTGCACTGGTTTCTAAGCTCTTGGCCATAAGAGACTGTTAAGTTTCCACCACCTGTCTCTTGGAACACTGGCCTTGAAATTCAGCTCTATCATTATTAAGACACCCAAGCCATTTGGAAAACCCATTTATTGGTGCTCACATAGCCCCCTGCCAACAACCTTTAAAAGACAAGACTGATTCATTGTCACTGGAAAGCAAGATTTACAGAGAGAAGGAGAGAGGCACAAAGATCTTTCATCCGCTGGTTCACTCCAAAAGTGCTGCAATGGCCAGAATTGAACCCGTCTGAAGCCAGGAGCTTCTTTCAGGTTTCCCATGCAGGTGCAGGGCCCCAACGATGTCGGCCATCTTTAACTGTCCTCCCAGGCCACAAGCAGGGAGCAAGATGGGAAGTGGAGCAGCCAGTACACTGGCCATATGGGATTTCCAGTGTGTTCAAGGAGAGGATTTAGCCACTAGACTATTATACCAAGCCACACAGCTTCTTCTGAGCTCCAAGTCAACAGCAAGTTGCAATTGCCAGCTATTCCCAAGTCTTTCAATGACTCTTGATCCTGCATGCTACCTGACTGCCACCATATGATCAAATGAAAATGAGAAATACCATCTGAGCCCAAGCTCAAGCTTCCAAGTACTTTCATATGAGGTAATAAAAATAGTAAGGCTAAAAGAAGGTGTTCATGTATAAGGAAGGTAATATCAGGCAGAAACGTGGGTTTGCACAAAGAATTTAAAAATAGTGTAAGAAAATCAAGAATATCCATTAAAATAAATGTATCATTATGCAGTGTGCGCTGTATCAAAACATCATGTGAGTGCAATTCTGGACATCTCATTTAAACAAAATAGTAATCGTTTATATTAAATGAAATATGTTACAAACAGGTAAATGAATGATTCCAATTATGGGGAGTACTCTGAGTAGTCAAATTCATTGAGATAGAAAGAACACTACCTGGATTCAGCTGGACTATCTAGACACAGTTGGCTAGGCTCTGGAAGGAGGAGGTTGGCATAGCTAATACTGTCTAATGGGCATGGTGTTTATTTGGAAAGATGAAAAAGTTCTAAGATGGATGATGGTGACGGTTGCAAAACAATGTGAATATACTTAATGTCACTGAACTAAAATAATAAAGACAAAATAGTGATGGCCACTGTTATTGTGCTTTACCACAATCAAAATCATTTAACTTCAAAAATTAATTAGAGCCCAGCACAACAGTCTAGTAGCTGAAGTCCTTGGCTACTCCACTTCCCATCCAGCGCTCTGCTTGTGGTCTGGGAGGACATAAAGGATGGCCCAAGACTTGGGACCCTGCACCCACTTGGGAGACCCGGAGGAAGTTTCTGGCTCCTGGCTTCAGATTGGCTCAGCACCGGTCACTGTGGCTATTTGGGGAGTGAACTAGCAGATGGAAACTGTTTCTGTCTCTCCTTCTGTCTGTGAATCTGCCTTTCCAATAAAAATTAAATATTTTGTTAAATTAAGTAGTTAAAAAGAAAAATATTAACAATTTATCATGCATGTAAGGTAAGTAAGTCTATGACCATAACAGAACAAGAATGGGTAGGAATACACCACAAAATAGGTACTAAATTTATTAAGCAAGTTTAACAAAGTCATATAAAAGAGAGAAATCCACCCAGTGGTTTACTTTACAAATGCTCAGAAAGTTCCACTTGGGCCAGACCAAGCCAAACAGGCAGCAGCTTAAGCCATATAGGTGCTGGTATGAGACCCAGCTGTTCTACTTCTAATATAGTGCCTTGCCAAATGTCTGGCAAAGCAATGGAGAACAGAGAATGGTACAAATACTTGGGTCCCTGCACCCATGTGGGAGAACTGAATGAAGCTCCTGACTCCTGGCTTTGGCTTGGCCCAGACCCACAGCTACTTCAGTCATTTGAGGAACAAACTAACAGATGGAACCGCTCTTTCCTTCTTTCTATATAATTCTGCCTTTCAAATAAATAAATTTAAAAAAGGCAGTGACCATCAGAAGCAGAGTTCACACTTGAATGCGGGCATTCTGATCCAGCATACAGGTTTCTCTAGTGGCATCTTAAGTCATTTCCTCAAATACTTCTCCCTTTAAATCTTTATTCATTAACTTGGGAGAGGGAATAGTGAGTTCCAGAAGTGCCCACAACAAACAGGCCTAGACTGGCCAAAGCTGAGATCAAGAACTGTCAGGGTCTCCCACACGGTGGTAGGCACCACAGTACTTCTGAGCCATCACTGCTGCCTTCTGGTATGTACTAGTGGCAGGAAGCCAGGATTGGGAGTGGAGTTGGAACTTGAACCCAATAACTCCAATAAGATGCAGACCAACTGTATTTCTGTATCCTAGCAACCAACAGGTGGAGTTTGAAAATTATAAAACATATCCTTTCCAGTAGTATCAGGTATATTTAAAAATTTATGAACTTTGTCAAAAAGACGGCTATGATGGACACATAGAAAGATATGCCATGTTCACAGACCATAATAGTCAATATTGTTAAATTAGCAAAACTCTGTAAGAGTTTTTATAGAAATTGGCAAACTTTTTAAAATTTTTGTAGTGGGCCCGGCGCGGTGGCGCAAGTGGTTAAAGGTCCTCGCCTTGCACGCCCGGGATCCCATGTGGGCGCCGGTTCTAATCCCGGCAGCCCCGCTTCCCTTCCAGCTCCCTGCCTATGGCCCGGGAAAGCAGTCGAGGACGGCCCAAAGCTTTGGGAACCTGCACCCGCGTGGGAGACCTGGAAGAGGCTCCTGGCTTCGGATCGGCATAGTATGGGCCCGTTGCTGCGCTCACTTGGGAAGTGAATCATCGGACGGAAGATCTTCCTCTCTGTCTCTCCTCTCTCTGTATATCCGCCTTTCCAATGAAAAAATAATAAAAATAAATCTAAAAAAAAAAAATAAAATTTTTGTAGAATTGAAAATAACCTAGAATGGCCAAGACAAATTTTTAAAAATTATAATCCTTTATTACCTGATTTGAATTTATTTATATTATATAGCATCTCTGATATAAGCTTTAGCTGATTTTGCATTGTTACTGAAGCAACAAAACTGTACACTTAGAAATTTTATTGTATTATTTGATTTTCTTTATAAAATCCAATATTAATATACTCTCTCTGCATATGTAGTTTGTAAAATAGTCAATGGTCCCAAAAAGAATGACAAATAATACAATTTGAAGGGGCTGAGTGCATCGGTGGACAAGGGAACTATTCACAAGCCAAAAACAGCTGGGTTTGTGATAACCTTGCAATAACAAGCAGTAGACCGAATCCCTCTGGTTAAACATAACAGAAGGAGCATCCCTGGCCTCAATACTATCCTTCTTATTTTCCTCAAGTTGTTAATAACAGACCAAAGCATACCAAGACTCTAAGTTAATATCTTCTCTTACTTTGTTTTAGTTAATGTACAAAAAACTATTTTAAGAACTGCTAGCTTCACATAGGTGAAGGATTAATGGGAGCTTTGTGTGACATCTGGGTTCTTTTGGAGTATAAACGTCTGTGTAATCTCAAAGTGTGTCATCCTGAGAGTGCGGATGATGGCCAGTGTAGACTAATAAAATCATTTCTCCATTGAGCATCTTCTTGTTGTCTATTCAACTAATCCTGACAACCACTTTCTGCACTGATTAGGGGGATGTTAACTATGATAATCATGAAACAACATGTTTCAGACATTTATAGAAAACTCTTACAAAGGAAGAATAATTCATCACGGTGCTAACTTAGGAAAACAGAAAAAGATCAGTGTGATAAAGAGCCCAGAATCAGACTCTTATCTATATGCCAACATTATTAAGCACTGCATTATAAGTCAGTGTGAAAGGACAAATTAGTCTATGAATCATGCTTTAAAAGTGCTTATTTATGTGAAAGGACAGATTTCTATCTATACCATACAATAAATTGGGATTAATCTACGCATCAAACATAAAAGCAAATTTTTAAATATTTGGGAGTGTATATAGATCACTTCTCGGCCTTTTGATTAAGATCACGTGTGAAGTGTGTGTAGAAAAATACCTTGTGAGATTAAAAACAGAGACATCTTTTTTAAAAAGGTAAACAAAGAAAAACAAAATCATGAAGGAAAACGTAATATTCAGAACTTCTAGACGAAACACACACAAGAAAAACACTCTCTCATAGGCCACAGTCCTAGAAAAGAAAATGTTCTCAGTACACATAAGACTAATAATTACAATTCAAAATATATGTTAAAGCTGTAGATATAGGTATCAAGGAAAAAACAATCCAAGAAAAACAAGCAAAGGACATTAACTGGCAATGACACAAGAGGATAATCAAAATGGCCAAACTGAAAAATTAATTTCCAATTTTTTTACAAGTAATAGAGGGCTCACAATTAAAACCAACAGAAGGTGATTTCTCAACCACCGGATAAGGCAAAAATTGTTAATATCTAACAGTAACAACAAACAAAAGCAGAGCCCTCACGCACTGCTCACTTTGGAGAGCGACTTGCAGTACTTACTAAAGCTGAAGATAATACCTTCACATACAACAATTTCTGCTACAGCTTCATACTATAATCTTTCAAGCATCTACAAAATGAAAAATACATGGATCTTCATGCTGAAGCCTTTATCATAAAACAGAAACACGTTCACCAACAGATACAGAGCAAAATGTGGTATAGGCACATATATTAAATGACTGTCCCGAAGCAAAATGTTTAGAACTACTTCATTCACTGAGAAGTTGTCCAGTATTTCATTCATGAATGTACTTATGCCTGTGCATGCATTGTGTACTTCTAGAAGTATCTGAATAAGAAACTGGTACAAAGGTTACTTCTGTTGAGAAGAAATGGATGATTGGATACAGAGACTGGAAGGAAACTTTTCACTAACATGCTATTTCATCTATTTTAAATTTGATGACAAAAATGTAAAGATATGGAGCTTAATGTATAGAATACAAAAATATACGGGTAAAATATTATTTTTCTAAAATTATAACAAAATAAGTTTTATTTATTGTGGCAAAAGCACAAATTCATGAAATAAATAACAAATTGAGTATCTCTGGGAAGACAATGGGATGGTGAAAAACTGTTTTTTCTCACACCATTTTTACTTTGAAGTTTTAACAAATATAGCATAATAAATTACATTCACTAATGTAAAGTTCTAATTACATGATGTTAGATTATCTTCAAGATATGTTTGATACATATCCTAAGTTTTTATAAGGTAGTGATTACAATGTCTGGCACACAGAAGCCATCTAACAAATGTTACTTTCTAGTCTAAAAAGCCTCATTTTATCATAATTTCTAAGACTTACTCTGCTAACTCCACTTTGTAAGCACTGAGTGTTGCATGCATATTCATTTTGAAAATTGAAAGGGAACACTGTTCCTGTTAGGAGAGAAAAAAACTTTAAATATTCATGACTTCAATAAATGATATAATATCACCTAAAGAATTCAAGTATTCAAGATACTGCTTACACTATTTTGAAATGTTCATTTATTTACCACACATTTATTTCAACCCTATGAAATATAAGTTTCTACTTTAGGGGATGGGAATAAAAGTGTAGAAAGAGTTTAAAGATAAAAAGATTTTGTACCCTAATTTAGACAAGCTAATAACAATTACAAAGCTGGTTGGTAACCACTAAGCTATATGAGAGATACAGAGAATACTAGAAGAGAACAGAGTAGATGTTAGGGTATCAGGATGGTTGCACAAGAAAAAATATCTCAACTAAATCTTGAAAGTAGGTGATTCCTCTAGTAACTTGATATGGTCAGGGAGCATGGCAATGTATTAAGAAAACCAAAATTAATTTCTGCCCTACTGAACTTCTCCACCTAATAAGTGGCTCTTACTTCATTGCCTGGATCTTAAGAGGACTGTGATTACACAAAAGACCAGAGCTACTACTCATCCTGTGTCCGCACCCACTAACCCACGTAACAGCAGCCTTGGGGGAGGATCAGTGAGAAACTGATCTGCAATGATAAAGGAGAGACGGGTACTGAAACAGAAACACTGCCAGTGGTTTAGCATTCTTCCATTTAAGGATTAAAATGTGACACTTGACCCTACACAACTGCTTTAGCATATCAGAAAGATAAAGGATCGAAATTGCTAAGCTATATCATCTTTGAAGATTCATTAATTCCATTTGTCTGATGAAATCCATCATCATGTGGTGAAAGATGACCAAAGTGGTTCCTTATAGAGACCCAGGAAAAGAAAGTGAGTGGGGCACAGAAATTAGTGCCATTTAGATCATTTCTGCTTCATCCTGTCCCCAATTAACAGTCTGTAATCCCCGCTTGGTGTATCATCATTTAACTCAATTTAACATGCAGAATAAAGAGAATTTTAATAGACTATATGTTTACCACCCAAGTTCAATCACAGAAACCACTGTGATAACAAGTAATGAATAGAATTTTTAAAAATTAATATTCCATGTTAAAACATCAAGTGCTTTTAGAACTTATCTAAAAAGAATAGTCTGATGAACAGAAGGCCATACAAGTTTGGAGTTCTGTTTAGTTTTTGTTGAGATTGTTCAGAATTAGTCATGTTTCTGCTCGAGCAGTCATAACGTCTACCTAGCACGACAGAATCATGTACAGTCTCTAGAGTTCTGTACTCATTTTTTTTCCTTTTTTCACATGAAAAAGGACCTTGACTACTTTACAAAGAGCATAATCACATGGCACAATTTATACTGGGAATATCAATCACATTCTTGCAAGAAGTTAGTTTATAAAATGAAACATTAAAAAAAACCCCTCTTAAAACAGATGGGGAAAACAGTTTTCTTTACTGCTTAAACTGTCTACTTCAATCCTATACTCTTTAGCCTTTTAATTACGAATTAGAACTTAACAAATTAATATTAGTAAATTGCACACTCTATGACTCACCTGGGGAAGAAGCCAGATGACGAACAGGTCTTGCTGGTTGAAGCGGTTTACCAATCAATTTTTTGGTTTCCATTTCCACAAAGACCTTGAGGTTCCATACTTTAAGAGGAAAAAAATCATTTAAAAAAGCATTTAAAAAATCATTTTAAAAAGCATTTAAAATATAAGCAATAATATTAGTCCTCTTTGTAGCATTTATCACGGCTGAATATTTTCCTCTTTCAACCATTTCTTCCTTTAACCTTCCTGTCTTCATTACTGTGAGTTGTTCCCTATTTCTTTTATTGTTTCTTCTGACTTGGTTACCAAATTTGGTCTCATCTGTTATCCCATTCTTAAATGCAGGTATCCTTAATTTGGCTTTGGTCTTCCTAAGCCAATCTCTGATTGTCATGGTTGCAACTCCCATCTATATGTTTCCAGCACCCTCTTTTTGAAATTCCAGCTCTATTTATCTAATTGCCTGGTGAAAATCAAATTTATATGTAATCATGAGTACCTAAGATTTAATTTTTAAAAAATTAATTGCAGTTAATTGCATTAACTTCAAGGATGTATCTCCTACTGTATTCCCTAAAGTCATAAACCCCCTTAGATCATCCTTGGTTAAAACTCCCCCAATTAGTCTCTAAATAGGAGACTCCAACCCATAATTAGTCTCTACTTCTTAAACACACCTCCAAGTTAAGCCTACTTTATTAATTTCCACCTCTAATTTCTTAATTCTATAGTATTTATTAATCCATCTCTGTGATTACCTTCTCGGTACTTTAAATGTGCTCCTTCTATATTTTTGGAATATCAAGCATATATCAATCTCATGACATTTCAATAGTATCATACAGTACCATTAATGTTTGCCCTATTTATCCTCCGTATTAACCAAAGTGAGAAAGACTGTCTTTATTCACCCTACATCTCCTGAAACTAACACAGTAACTGAAACAAATCCAAAGTGGATACAGAACATGCATCTCCCAAAGAAATGATAGATGGACTCAGTGTGATGGCTCAATTGGCTAATCCTCCACCTCCAAGCACTGGGATCCCATGTGGGTGGTGGTTCATGTTCCAGTTGCTGCACTTCCCATCTAACTTCCTGCTTGTGACCTGAGAAAGCAGTGGAGGACAGCCGAAAGCTTTGGGACCCTGAAGCCACACAGGAGGCATGGAAGAAGTTCCTGGCTTCTGGCTTCTGGCTTTGGATTGGTTCAGCTCTGGCCATTGCAGCCACTTCGAGAGTGAGCCAGCAGATGAAAGATCTTTTTCCCTGAATCTTCTCTCCATATATCTGTCTTGCCAATAAACATGAATAAATTTAAAAAATGATTTTTTTTAAAATTAAGATCTTCTTAAACACATTCTACTTAAAAAAAATGAGCTTTACATCATCTTGTTAATTGCAATATCCATTCACTGAACAGTAAACAACCCATCTATGCTGTACTATTCAGAAAATCTATAAACCAGCACTAATACAACATAGGTTCAGATCAGCATACCTAAGTTAAGATGATGATACCACATCCTGGTTAAAGAACTGCATGGATAACTACACTCCACATTTTGATGCCTGATGTAAATGCTAAATAAGATCATCTACATATAGCACTCAGCACAACACCTGATACAACAACAATTCAACAAAAATTAGCTAGTAGTAGTATTATCCTAATTTACAAATAGGGCTTAGAGTTTTTTTTTGTTTTTCTGAAGATCAAGCACCTACATAATTTATCCACACTTTTGGTCAACACTCCATAATCTAAATAGCTCCAACCTTCTTTCCATTTCACACTGGGTAAAACTACTGAAATTTTGGCAAATAACCTTCCTATAAAGCCACAAAACGTTCCCATACCCTCTTCTAATGTATCCTCTTATAATGTAGCAGGAACTTGGGCCATCTTCCACGGCTCTCCCTAGTGCATTAATTATCAGAGAGCTGGATGGCAAGTGGAGCATTCAGTGCTCACAAGTAACACATACATCACACGTGGCAGTTTAACCTGTTATACCTTAATGAGCCCCTACAAATTTTTATGCTCATCAAAACAAAGCCATAAATAAAGCCCCACTTGACTTTGGACCTGTTCATCCCATAATTGCATGACCTTAAATAAATCATAAATCCAAGGAACCGTTTCCTTCAAATATAAGGAAGACATAATTATTCCTTTTTAGTTAAAAATATTTTATCTTATTTTAAAATGCTTTTATGCATATATAATTCATAGTGTGGTAGACTAGTGGCTAAAGTCTTTGCCTTGCACGCCCTGGGATCCCATATGGGTACCGGTTCATGTACCGGCTGTTCTACTCCTCTTCCAGCTCCCTGCTTGTGGCCCAGGAAATTAGTCAAGGATGGCCCAAAGCCTTTGAACCCTGCACCAGCATGGGAGACCTGGAGGAAGCTCCTGGCTCCTGGCTTTGGATTGGTTCAGCTCTCTGTTGTGGCCACTTGGAGAGTGAACCAGTGGATGGAAGATCTTTCTGACTTTCCTGTCTGTGAATCTGACTTTCTAATTAAAAAAAAGTAAATCTTAAAAAAAAAATCACAGGTATATAAACAATCTCTCAAAGTTAACAATAACAACCATGGCCAGAAGAGTTATTTTTTCCTGTAATTTGGAGAAAACCCAGCCAATAAGCTGAGTTAATATTTATGTACCTTTGAAATATATCCATTAATTAGTACTTGAATGTGGCTATGAACATAAAACTATTTCGTCCTATCCTTGCTGACAGTATCAGGCTATACTTGTTGACATAATAATAAACAAAAAGGACCCACAAGCACAAGAAATTAAAAATCCTTACTAGATGAAATATTTTATTTGTGGAAAAAAATGTTCCAAATGATGACCAAGACTCCATCTCAAGTCCACTGCTTTATTAATGTTTACGCTGGCCATTTCAATTAAGATGCCAATATCTGCAGACAGCAACTTTCCACCCTGATTCCCATGTGAAGCTACTGTAGCAGAATACAATACGACAGTTGTTTGGCACACACATGCTTGATTCTCATTGCTCAGCTGGAATTGAGCTGTAGACTCTGAAGTCTGTTCTAATTGCCCAGCAAGGCAAATCCAGAGTATTGAAACTAGGAATTTGTCAAGATTTGGGGATTTGTGGGACTCCATTATTTTATTTCACAACACTAGTAAGTAAACAAAATAAAATCTACCTGTCCTTCCATCTGTAGTAGCAAAGTTTACAATGGCACTCCACATGAAAATTCACATCCATTAAAGAATACTGTCACACAGTACTTGGCTTGATGTTTTCAAAAAGTCAACTATGCCCGCACAGAGACACTCTCATTATAAAGAATGAGTTTGGAATCACAGTATTTACTAACTCCTACCATTATGTCATTAGCAGCATTTACAAGGATATATTGTAAAACTGACCCATGAGTTTATAAAGTAAGACTCTACAAACCAAAATCTAATTCTCATGTAGAAGGCCCCATGTGGGATATGTATCAAACACCCAGTGGATGCTGAAACTAAAGAGTATGGAAACACAGACTACCTTTTCCTGTGCCTACATGCATACATGTAATGCCTCTCCCGTTTTAACTAAGCACTGATCACACCGTGAACCTGATCTCCGCAGCTGAGGTACAACAGCAAAACGAGCACAAATTTCTTTCCATTCTTCACAATTCACGTACACAAGATTAGTTTTTACCAAACATCTTACAGCAATCTCCATACACACATTTTTCTGCCCTAAGTTAAGAACTTCGACATTTTCACTCGAAAACAGAATGATGAGATTTCTCTAGCATATGTGTACTGCCAGCATCATTACTCTTCCACTTTGTGGTCATTATTCAAATCAGGGTGACCTAAGCGCAAACACTGCAATACCTGACAATCAGTCCGAGAAACAAGATGGCTAAATCACAGAAGAGTAGATGTGGCATGGATATGCTGCTGGGCAAAGGCTAATTCACATTCCACTGGGGCATGATTTGATCAGACTATTCGGAGCACACCAAATGAAAACACACTTTAAAAAAAATGTATGGAGATTTTAATCTAGTATTTTGAGATTAGAATGCCATCGCTTCTCAGCCTTTTGGCTAAGATGAAGTGTGGAGACTAGAATGCCAGCAAGTAACTGGCACTAGAGAGAATAAAACTGCAGCTATGGGTGAAGTACCACCAGAAATTTTACTGAGATATATGTAGTCATTACACAAAATAACTTTAATCATAAACCCAAATGAATATTTCATTCATACAGAGCTCAGAAAATTCCCCTAGATGCAATGGTTTCTCCCTTGGGCAGGCATTTATGACATCAACTAGTACCAAGGAAAATAGCTGTAAAACAAACAGAAGCTTACCTACAAGACTGGGTAGCCACCAATACAGCTATCATAAAAAGGTGTCCTTCAAAATATAAACTTACTTTTACAACATAACTGATTTATCTTTTGTGACATAATTGTTTTTAAAGAGATTCTGGTTAAATGTCTTAAAATATTCATTCTGAGAATATATGCTGAAGTGGATGCTGAATAAGGTGTTGCAAGTTTATGAAAATTTAACAAATCATCTCAACAGGTCCCATTAAATGAATAAAATATCTGTCATATCACCTGCTATGATTGCATAGGAAAAAAATACATGAATCCTCAAGCTAATTTTGAAATTGCAAATTAAACCCAAAATTTTCTAAAATGTCACATCATGGGATAATAAGTCACCATCTGACCACTTTGGAAGCCATTTTAATAAATCCCTTTACTACATATTACTCTTTAAACATTTTAAATCCAATGCATGCTAGCTGTCTTACATATATCATCTCACTTTTGAGCTCTCCCTTTGCTATTGGTGAAAATCAATGGTCCCAATTGGCAGATGCAAAGCCCAAGACTCAGAGAGATCAGAGACATAGCCAAGGTGAGCACTAGCTGTGAGACTTTGAGTGTGGGGTTCATGCCCTTGTCTCTAAAATTGCCTGGCCACGGCAAATATGGACTAAAAGATTGAAAGAAGGCACAAAAAGCCTCACCAAAGTATGTACTAGTAATTTTCATGTGTTTAAAATATTAAATAACTTAGGGGATGGCTATGCTTTCACTATTCTATAACCATTACTAACCATACTAGCCATACTAACCAAGAAGCTTACTAGGTAAGGGTTTTAGAAGCAGGATAGTATATTTAAAATGTCTCTTAAAACCTTTGGCAAAGTGCCGACAATTCTCCTTCAGTTAAGATCACATTTCCTTTTACCTTGTATATTTTTCCCGCAGTATAACCAGGATTCAATCTAAATTTCAACACATTACTCTTGTCAGGTTAAGATTTAAAAAAAAAAAAATCTCATGTAAACTACCCACACTGGTAAAACGACAGTGGGAAAGTAACACAAAGAATATGTAATGAAGTTTGAAATAAACCAATCATGACTTAGGTGGTAAACAACATCTTACACTCCACAAATCTGGTTGCACTGTTGAGGAAAATTTGAAACCAAAGCATCAAAAGGCTGAAAGCCAGGAAAGTTCTATCACATTTGTTTCATTTGTTGCTTTCTCTTAATGGCAAGAGTAGAAAGTACACCCCTCTCCCACAACAGCTGCCCCTTCCCCAGTTTGAAGCATCTTTCCATAAAATCTAACTAACATTTAAACGATTCTGATAGGATCAACCCGCCCAGGTAATCTGAGTTTATGATTGCCCTTAACAATCCAGGCGAGGTTTTAGGTAACTTTGCCTAAGATCCCAGGAAGGGGCAAGAAGTCTTGAAATTGTCCCAACACCAGCCCCAGGTGCTGGGAGAGAAACCTGGGGGCGCGGCGTGTCCATCATCCTGTCCTGGTGGTTGGCGGTGGTGTCCACCATCACCTTGGCGAGGAGATTCTCCCGGCACTGGCCGGCTCCGCGCTTTCCCATCCTTTTGCCGTTCTCCTGCCCCTAGTCGGACATCTCCCGCACGTCTCACGATCTAATCCACCAGGGGACCCGGCGGGGACCCTGGGCGATTGATCCACTCATCCCCAAGGCGCCTTTCCCTGGCCAAAACTTCACCGGCGGGCGGGCTTCGGAGCCCGCGGCCACCGGCCCCAACTGCCTGCCCGGGTGTCGCTCGTCCTCCGCATCACCTACCGCCTCAAGATCCGGGAGGACTTGGGGACGGCTGCGTGGCCGAGCTGAGCCCAGACGCGCCGGCCGAGCGCCCCGCTGCCCGTCGGGGAACGGCTCCGGCCGCGCGCGCCGGCGGCCTCGGCTGGCGGAGGGGGCGGAGGGGGCGGCGAGGGGCGCCTCGGCCGCGGCCGTTCAACAGGCGGCGCGCGCAGCCGCCGGCCAACGGCCTCTCGGAGCTCCCAGGCTCGGCCCGGACCGGGCGCGCCCGCGGGAACTGCCTCTGCGACCCCAGTCCGCGACCTTGCCTGTCCGCACACGGCCCGGGACGGAGGCGCGAGGCAGGCGGCCGGCGCGGGGGAGGGGGATGCTGCGCGGCGGGGGAGGGGCGCCTCTGTGAGGGAGGTCGCCTCCTGGGGGAGGGAGTCGCCTCTGGGGGGGGGGGGCGCCTCTGTGAGGGAGGTCGCCTCCTGGGGGAGGGAGTCGCCTCTCGGGGGGGAGGGGGCGCCTCTGTGAGGGAGGCCGCCTTTGTGGGGGCTAGGGGGAGGGGGCGCCTCTGTGAGGGAGGTCGCCTCCTGGGGGAGGGGGTCGCCTCTGGGAGCAGGGGGAGGGGCAGGGGCGCCTCTGTGAGGGAGGCCGCCTCTGTGGGGGCTGGGGGGAGGAGCGCCTCTGTGAGGGGCCACTTGTGGGGGGAGTCGCCTCTGGGGAGGGAGTCGCCTCTGGGGGGGGAGGGGGTGCCTCTGTGAGGGAGGCCGCCTCTGTGGGGGCTGGGGGGAGGAGCGCCTCTGTGAGGGAGGTCGCCTCTCGGGGGGAGGGAGTCGCCTCTCGGGGGGAGGGAGTCGCCTCTGGGGGGGGAGGGGCGCCTCTGTGAGGGAGGCCGCCTCTGTGGTGGGGGAAGGGCTTCTCTGTAAGGGGGCTCACCTCCTGGGGGAGGGGGTCGCCTCTGGGGGAAGGGGGTCGCCTCTCGGGGGAGGGGGCGCCTCTGTGAGGGAGGTCGCCTCCTGGGGGAGGGGAGGTCTCTGTGAGGGAGGTCGCTTCTGGGGGAGGGGGTCACCTCTGAAGCTCCTCTGTGAGGAAAGTTGTCTTGGCCAGAGAGGCTGCCTAGGGGCGGGGAGTCGAGGAGCACTTTTAGGGAAGCTCCTTTCGTTCCAACTAGAGACCATTATGCTCATTGAAATGAGTCAATCACAAAGAAACAAATACCATCTGTTCTGGCTTCTCCACTTTTGATCCAGAACCCTACTAAAGCTCCTGTGAAAGCAGCAGAAGGTGGTCCAAGTGCTTAGACCCCTGTATCCAAGGACAAGACTCAAATGAAGAACTCCACTCCTAGCTTCGGTCTGGCCCAGCTCTGGCCATTGCATTCATTTGAGAAGTAAATCAGTGGTTGGAAGATCTCTATGTGTAACTCTGCCTTTCAAATAAGTAAAAAAAAAAAGAAAAAAGATTAAATATTAAAAAGCACTAAAATATAAATAGCAGTTTGAGTTTCTCCTTTCTCTTTCTAAAAAGTATAAAAAGACATTGAAAGTTTCAAGGTTGGATGTGTTAGTAGCATATGACTACTCGTAAAAAATTAAGTAATCATGTCGAAAATGGGAAGAAGGACAGGCAGTAGACAAGAAAGAGCCAGTGTCAGGTCACAGGTTTTTATAGTAAAGGTCATTAGATGTGACACCAAGAATTGCTACTCTGGATTATAATCCAGGTTAGAATCACATTAATGTCTGAATCATTGACATATAATTAAAATGTAAACCAGGGACTAAAATATCTTCATCTTGAGGGAGTAAAGATCTGAAGATGACAGTAGGAGAAGATGAAGTGGTGAGGGCTTGAAGTATGCAGGCAGGAAAAGATCAACATTATACAAATTAAATAATCCTCTACACATTTATTCCTAAACTCTTAGCAAAGGCTTAATAAAATGTAAATGTATGTTCTCCAAGATTATTTAAATCTCCAATATCTTATGCCAGAGGTACATTTGATGTGAAAATGTCAGACGCTGGGACATGGTTTTTTCAGAAAAATTTAGTGTAGCAGTAGACAGTTTTTCAGCGTTTATGTCCAACAGGTAGCACCTACACATATTAATAGACCACTTAGGGTACTAGAAAGTTCAATCAGAATACTATATGTAATCATTTTGATATTGATAAGTAGGCTAATAAAAGAAATTTAGGCACAAAACTGAAAAATCTGATAGATCCAATCCACACCTGCTAAAATGACCAACTACTTCCACCTCAAACATCTTTATTTTTAGACACTTTACTCTTTGGGACAGTCCCCAAAATATGGACTCTTAATTTTGGTGCTTTTCATGTAGTATTTCACATCAAGCCAATCAAATGCATGTTTAGCAAAACACAAAGAACATAGTATTTGGGCCTAGCATGATGGTTCAGTTGGCTAATCCTCTCCTTGCAAGCACCAAGATCCCATTTGGGTGCAGGTTCTTGTCCCAGCTGTTCCAATTCTGCTCCCTGCTTATCTCCTGGGGAAGCAGTAGAATATGGCCCAAAGATCCCAGCCATGGGGAGACCTGAACAAGTTTCTGGCTCCTGACCTCAGATGAGCTCAGCTCAGCTCAGCTCCAGCCATCACGGCCATTTGGAGAATGAACCGGTGGATCAAAGATCTTTCTTTTTCTCCTCTCTGTAAATCTTCCTTTCCAATAAAAATGAATAAATCTAAAAAAAAAAAAAAACCCTTATAGTATTTATTTAAATGTATAAATGCATATATAAAATGAATTTAAAATTTTGAGTTTTAACTTTTTTAGCATTTCATGTTATTTATCCTAGAAAAAAATAGTCTTAAAGCTTACTGCATGGCAACTGCCTCATATTAAAGATTTCTACTAAAGTCTCACTATCATTTTGTTAATGTATTTGCTTCCTGTAAGCAACTAATAACTATGACATTAGATTGATGAGTTTAAACAATTTACATTCAGACTTAACATGAATGGGTGGGAATTTGGTCTGGCAATTTTAGCAATTGGCTGTTCATTGACTTAGTCTTCTGTTGTCATTTTAATGGGATGTTCTTCCCATTTGCCTTTGGTTTTGGTAGGTGCTATTCCTCTTCTCTGTCAAGAAAACATCTTGAAGTATCATTTGTAGGGCAGGTCTGGAAGAGGCATATTGTTTTAACTTTTCTTTACTGTGGAAGATTTTGATTTCATTTTCAAAGACAAAAGAAGGCTTTGCTGGGTACTTTATCCTGGGCTGACAATGTTTTTCTTTTAGAATCTGGAATATGTCACTCCATTCCCTTCTGGCCTGTAGAGTTTCCCGTGAGAGGTCTCCTGTGAGCTTAATTGGCCTTCCTTTATATGTCAGTTGATTTTTTTTTTGTGTGCACATTTAAGGATCTTTTCCTTATGTTCGATTGAAGACAGCTTGATGATCATGTGTCGTGCTGAAGATCGCTTTTGCTCAAGCCTGTTGGGAGTTCTGTGCCCCTCCTGGATGTTGTTTCACCATTCTTTCTCTAGATTTATTTGTTGCCTAAAGGAGACATATTTCACCAAAAAAGATCAGCAGAAACTATATTTCACGGATTTTTATTATTTTAAATTTTACTTCTTTTTATTATTATTATTATTTTTGATACAGTTCCATATGATTTCTTTGTTTCATCTCTTCAAAACACTTTCTTTCTTATTAAATTCTTCACTGACTCATAGATCAAACAGTAGTATCATTTTCTTTAAGAAGGTTCTTGATTTTCTTTTACATTTCCTCAGTGATACATTAGTCATTCAGTAGCATGTTATTTAACCACATGGAGTTGTTGTTAATTTCTTTTTGTTGTTGTTGTTATTGTTGTTGGTTTTATTTTGTGGCTTTTCATTTAAGGGGATATGAAGACTATCACATCCAGATGTGAGGATACAATACAGCATCCCTACTTCCAGAGCAAAAAATGGACTCCTAATAAAACTGTTTACTATATCTTGACAATAGGATGCTGGACTCTCTGCCATTGTCCATGCCCGCAATGATGGACATATGACTGTGTATGAAGAACTATACTATAGTAATGATATAGAGGAACTCAGTGAGGGGTAGGGGGTTGGGAAGGAGATAAGGGAAATTCCAGGGCCTATGGAACTGTATCATAAAATGATAATAAATGATAATAATACTAATAATTTTAAATATATTTAATATTTTGATATTTAAATGCATTAAATTAATATAGTTTGATTCAATACAAAATTCATACAAAATATTTTTTAGACTGCAATATTCTGCTTTGAAATGAGTGGACATGTTCATCTTCTTACCACAGATGAACTGCATACAACGAACAGCAGAGGGCGCAAAAACCAAAGCAATTCCCTTGCAAAATTCATCTATTTGTTGTCTAGAAGAGACACACTTCACCAACAAAAATCAGTGGAAACTTTATCTCATGGGATTTGATGTTTTTGGTTAGTTTCATCTCTTTAATACACTTTCTTCTGGTCAAATCATTAAATGACTCATAGATCATAGAGTAGCATCATTTTCTTCAAGAAGGTTCTTGATTTTCATTTCTTCAGCTACACGTTAGTCATTTAGTAGCATGTTATTTAACTTCTTGGTGTTAATTTCTTTTTTCTTCCTTTTGTTGATTTTGATTTATGGCTCTTCATTTAAGGGGATGTATAGTAGCCATGTAACGGAGGCTGTCATATCTAGTAACATGTCATTTAACTTCATGGCATTATAAATTTCTATTTTTCTTTCTATTGTTGATTTTGTATTATGACTTTTCATTTGAGGGGATGTACAGTAGCTGTGAAACAGAGACTAACATCCAGATGTGAGGATACAATGCAGTATGCATTTCTACTTCCAGACAAAAATGGACTTACAATGAAACTGTTTACTATATCTTGACAATAGGATGCTGGACTCTCTGCCATTGTCCATGCCTGCAATGATGGACATATGACTGTGTATGAAGACCTATACTTTAGTAATAATATAGAGGAACTAGGTGGGGGGGGGTGAATTGGGGAGGGGATAAGGGAAATGCCAGTAGTCTATGGAACTGTATCATAAAATGATAATAATAAAATAAAATGTAAAATAAAATAAAATAAAATAAAAATAGAAAAAAAAACATAGTGGAGAAAAGATAACAGCTTAAAACTAAATCCAGTCAGCTTCCTCACATTTAACTGAGTGATATTCACCTAGCCATTTAACATCTTCAACAGTAGACTTACAACAACAACACGGAGAAGAAAATGTTAGGGTCAGTATGGGCCAGTGTGGTGGCATAGCAGTTCAGCATGATGTCTAGGATGCTCACATCCCACTTGGACACTGATTCAAGTCTTGTCTGCTGCACTTCCAATCCTGCTCCCTGCTGTTGGTCTAAGGAAAACGCAGGATGGCTCAAGTGCCTAGAAAAAGATCTTAGCTCCTAGCTTCAGCCTGGCCCAATTGGGGAGCCACCTGGGGAGTGAACCAGTGGATGGAAGATCACCCTCTCTCTGTGTACCTCCTTCAAAAAAAGAGAGAGAGCTTTTAAAAACATATGTGAAACAGTCCAAAAACATTGGGATTTTTCTTTCATTACTTATTACATATATGTGAACCTGTATACTGGAAACATACAATGAAAAAGTTTGTTATATTCACCAATGCAGATCATGAATATAGAAATGGTTGTAATAGCAAATGAGTGTAATATAGTCACATCATATTATAGTCACATGCAAAGTACATCAAACAAAATTTAAATAAGAGAAATGACTTTATTTATTCAAACACAGTCACAGTGGGGTTTTTTTTTGTTTGCTTTTTATAGAGGAAAAATATGAATGCCAGGAAAAGTAGATGTAAATCTACGATATATATTTTCAGCATGGAGCATCTGTTAGCTTTTTGTTGTTATTTTTGTTACACTACAAACTGCAAGAGTTATAACTACAATCTGTATTAAGTGCTCAGCTAAGATGAAAAGGAATGGAGGCATGGTGGCTGGAAGGCCCCGGGATAAGCAGCGTCTCATGCCTGGAGCGCACGTAGCTGCTACCACGGGCGCGTCCGGAGCCGGTATCGGGCTCGCTGGAGCTCCGTGGGCTACCCACGGTGCTCTGTGAAGCGGGTCCCACTGCTCCACTGCTCGCCTTTTTGGCTGGAGCTGGGGGAAGGGCTGGGAAGGGGTGGTGCTTGAACCTGGGGAAGTAGTCTTCCAGCCGCATGGCGGCTCGAAGGCCCCGGGATAAGCAGCGTCTCATGCCTGGAGCGCACGCGGCCGCTACCATGGGCGCATCCAGAGCTGATATCGGGCGGCCAGTATGCCATTTGTCGCTAGGCTTCGCCTGCTGGCCGCCGGCCAGGGAGCTCTGGGATTTGGTTTTTATGATTGCTGCTTAGAAAGCTCCATGATGAATCCTCAGGGATTTGGGTGCATGAATCAACCCTAAAGATTCCCAATGAGGGTAAATCTCCCCCATGGACCTAATATGGTCTCAACCCACGTGTTTTTAAAATTGTATAACCAAATGTACTTTCCATACCTTTTACTACTCAGAAATTGGGCAGGAGAGCAAAGAAACCTTCCATCTCCTGTGAACGTGTGAGGAAGCCGTGTAGTGTAACCTCTCAGGCACATAACAGGTAACTTGTAGACAATAGATTCAAGACAACACTAGACAATAGTAAAACCACAAAGACATACAGGGGGGAATCAAAAGCAACCCTGACAACCTATTAACAGAGGTCATGTGCACAGAGCAGTGGGGGACCACAGAGTGTAGCAGGTGGACAGGAGGAGACTTGTATCCCAAACTTGGAGACTCCCGGATCCCCACCAATGACTATCAGTACAGGCACCAAGAACTACATCCCAACTGCCAAAGAGACCACGGGGGACTGGAATGCCTTCGGAGGCCAAGAACTCAGAGGACATTCCCCCTCCTCCTTTGGACCTACCACACGGGATGGAAGAAGCTGAATCCTTCATCATAGGATCCAAGGCCATAGGAACAACAGCCAGGAAACCTGAGCGGTCTTCAGAAACAGAAGAACAGTAAACTCCCTTCAGGACTTGGGAGAGGAGCAATCTCTGGTTCTTACTTAGCTCCAACCTCGGGTCCCCAACCTCTCTGCAATGACCATGAGGGACGCTCCAGAGCACCCAACACACACACACACACACACACACACGCACACTCACACACACATGCACACTCACAAATTGGAATGGATAGGCAGAGAACAACAAGGAAGGCTTGGTCAGCATGGACTCACACACACCTTACTAGGTAGGACACGGAGATTAAGTACTCCTCACCAATGTATGAGAGATTTCTCTGCACACCCCTCCTAACACTGTTTTGCACCTCAATTGTTGAATTGTTATTGAAATAGTCACAGAAAGTTGTTAAGGCCTTGCATCCAATTTTGACAAATTGGTTGCTCAATACTTTGTCAATTTATCTCTTAACGTTATATATTGTTGCTGATGTTATGTTGGGGCTTTTAATTGACTGGGATTTTGCTTTGTTGGCTCTGCCTTTGGACTGGGGAGGGTCTCCCTAAGAAGCCGCTGAACTTGACCAGACAGTAATATGCTGGACTCTATGCTTGGTGTATGCTTGCAATGAAGGGATCTCAACTAAAAAAAAAAAAAAAAAAAAAAAGAAATGGAATGTATGTCTGTTTGTCCAGGAGAATACATAGAATATGTAGGCAGAGCTTCTCTTATGCAGAATGCTTGGACCAGAAGTAGTTCAGATTTTGGATTTTTCTGATTTTTGGAATATTTGCCTTGACTTTACTGCTAGAACACATGCACTCCTGAAGTTTGTCTTCTTCCATTCAGGAGTTCAGATTTTATATTTTGGCATTAGGGATGTGCTATCCAATGTTTCAGGCTTTTATTGGGTCACTAGAGTGTGCTCCCAAGGATAAAGCTATACTACCATACTTTAATGGCCCCATATTATTGGCTATTTGAATAATTTACTGTTTTTTACTCCTTATTGGAACTGAAATTTGACACTTATACAACTTTGCGTTAATTCATTATACCTGACCTGTGATACGATTGGCAGGTGTAAAGGAATAGCTCTGCCTTGTGGTTATAGCATCATTGTTGGGGGTGGTGGGGACTGTCAGGAGATCCCTTCCTTTCCTCCTCTTTCCTAACCTATATAAGTTTGTACTGGGTTCTAAATAAGTGGGCATGTTCCAACACACTGTCCCCAGTTCTTGTGGCCAGAGAACACTGTCACCTTATCCCATCAGTGGTCTTGGGGCTTGTTGGCAGGAATCAACCCCAAGATGTGTGCACAGCTGTTTGTGTCACCCCATATCCTCAACATTACAGTGATATGATTCAATTTTTAAAAAATTCTTTGTTAATTAAACTAAGTAAAAGTTTTTATTTTAACTTGCATTCTTTAATTACTGGTAAGGTTTTTGAATGTCAGGGTCAGTGCTTGCTACAAAAGTAAAGAAACAAATTAGAATGCGTGCATCCTATATCAGATTGCTTGGATTCAAGTCCTACATCCCTTCTTCATCACAGCTTCCCATACTGTGTGTTCTAAAAGGTAGCAGGTGATCACGACTCAAGTGTTCCCTGTCACACACATGGAAGACTTTGACTCAATTCCTTGGCCTTTCCCAGCAGTCACGGGAACTTAGGGAGTAAGCCAGCACGTGGAAGACATCTCTCTCTCTGTCTCTTTCCTTTCAAATAAATACAATAAACATTGAAAAATAAGTTTTAAAATGTCACAACCATTATTTATTGTCTGTTTCTGTTTCACCTTCAGTTTGAATTTTTTTCCAAAGAAGTTTTTGGGATTTTTTTTCATTTGTTGGTCTTGTTTTGAACACTCTACCAATAATCCTACCAGGGTTCTGCCTGGGAAGAAAAATTTTCCTTAATCCAATATTAAACATGCAGTTTGTTTATGCATTCTGGCATAAAACACAAATCATTTATTTATTCACACATATTCATTCATGTACACTGGGCATATAGGGAGCAACCACCTTTCTGAATAGGAATAAAGAAGGAGACATGTTTGCTAGAGTCCTGCCTTCACAGAGTTCTGCCACAAAAAAAATATGATCATGTAGTTCATAATTTAATTAGCAAATCAATGGGGAAAAGAATGGATTGTTCTGCATATAATGTTGCTACAATTAATTAGCAATTAAGAAAAAAATGGATTATTTCATACCTTACATCTGTGTATTACAAATGGATTTTAAAATTAGTTTGTAAAAACATAACCATGAACATAGTAAGAAAAGCAAATTAATATTACCTAAATATCACCAAGTTTTTAAACATGGAAACTTTGGAAAGAAAACATTTTTAAAAATAATTTGGGACAGGAAAAATTTGAACAATAATCTTTATTAGCATATTTTCAAAGGTACATATACTCCTGAGCTACTGTACTTATACATTTATCATTTAACTCTTTAAAGTTTACAGTTATTTTGCTCAAACTCTGATGAGTACATTTTTATAATAATCAGAAACTTAACTTAAAATGTTAGTCTTATCCCTGCAATCACCAATTAATTTACCCAGATAATCTAATTATCTAATTCTACTACATGAAAGATTTCAGAACATTACTTCTGAATTAAGTAACTTCTTTTTCAAAACTGCAAGGATGGGCAGTGCAAGAGCTGACCCCAAACTATACTGCTTTTTGTTCCTGATCTATTTTCTTAAGTAAATTGGATAATCATCTGATCAGTCATATTTGGTAAGACCAGTAAGAGTACCTCTAATATAAACATTTTAGTTAGTGTACAATGTCGTAAACTTCCCTTCACATATATGTGGTACATAATTATCTCGGTAAGAAAAAATTTACCATGATTTAATGAAAAGGAGCACAATCCAGTGTAAGTATATCTTTGATTAAATGATGAAATATTAGAAAACATGTGAATATGAAATATTTCCTGCAATCTCTGTGAAGGAATACTCAGAGATAACGTTGCATTAAATCCCATGAATCCAGACCAGATCTTTCAAAATGGTAAATAAAAAGGCAAGAATGAAAAATAAGTCCTGTGATCTTTGAGGAAAGACATTTATCCAACATCTCTAACCATGAACAAACAAATATTGTTCAATCCAATATTTTAAATTACTATCAAAATATTGTATCTTTCTACAAACAACAGAAAACAAGCATACAGTATCTAGAAATGTTTTTTCTTTGACAAAGTTGTTAAATCTTTGAAGGTATACCCAAATTTTTTCTTAAATAAGGGCACTATAATCTTAGGTTAAAGTTACTGTAAAGCAGTTCAAGCAAAATCTCACTGTTTAGATTTTAAAGCAAGCAATTTTGATCATTTTTAATTGAAATGTAAGTATAAATGTGAAACTGTTGTAGAAACATGTATTAACAATTATTGGGAATACTCACACATCGACAAGTAACAGAATAACTGAACAATAATGAAAACATGAGACTATTCAATGTTTGGTGGTAAATCTGAAAATACCTTCAAGAGGTTTGAAAGAACATAAAAACACAGCTTTATATTTCCAAGTTTGAAAATCTAGCAGCAAAACAATCTATTTGCATATAATGTAGTGCAATGAGCATTTGTTTGTAAGACTCTCCAAGTCTTGAAATTATCACACATTAATCAGAATGGAATCCATTAAGATAAATGATATAAGATTTTCAGAGTAGCTTACTGAGAATCACTAGACACTCTGACCTGCTATCGCTGAATCATAAGGAAGCTTATGCAAAACTGTGCTCTGGGTAGCTGACTCTTATGACTCCCCAGTAACAAGCTCGGATAAGGCAGATCAGACCTAAAAGATAAGCAATTGCCCAAGAAACATAGGTTGCATGAAATCGCCTTGAAAAGTCTTGGGTACCAACCTAAAAGAAAAGGCAATAGGAAAATACATTAGAAATTTGAAGAAAATACCTGCTTAGAGAAGCTTTGTATTACATGCAAGTTGTGTGAACTAGATTCCCAGAGATAATACACAAAGTCTTCATAAAACATGAGATTTAACATTTGCTGGCCAAAACTGTCAGATTATTCTGCTACCAACATTTACTATCAATTTTATGAAGTAAACAAAATGTGCAGTACATTAAAATATGTTATCTCCAAACGGTATCTAATCTAACTCCTTAGTATCCTGTTACACACCCTCCCAATAACCCAGAGCCAGGTGCACTGACAGAGTGCAGACAGTTCATGGCAGTAGAGTAGGTCAGCTCCTTTCTCTTCCCTTGACATAATCGCCCTACCAAATGTTTGGTTTCGGTCTCTCCTAAAACCAAGCCAGTCCCCACATTGGTAATAAATCTCTGCTTGGCTTGGAAAAAGAGAAAAAGACATTTCTTGGGCATATAAAATTGGTTCTGCCACAAAACAAAAACAAACTGGCTTTGGTTAAAACGATGGTAAAGTCTCCAATGTGAAGGACTTTCCAAGCAGTCCAAAGACACCATTTGGCATGAACAGGCAAGCTCCATTCAAAACAGGCCTGTGAGTTGTGTTTCTGACTGTCCATGATGCTTCAGAAGACTCTAGGTCTAGCCTGCCTTCCAGGAACCAAGAAAGGGTGTCATAGACTTCACCGCCAATGACGAGGTTGAGAGGAAAGAATTCCAACGGTATGGTAGTACTCACAGTTAGTCCAACGCCAATGAAAATGCATATCATCCCAATGGTAATGTATGCACAGCAGCGTCTTCTTGGTAGTGCACTCCCCACCGAGGAGCTGCAAAAGAGAACTTCGGTATTGGCATACAGATGACACATTTCATCTCTCCAAGTACTCTAATGGTCTTGGCAAAATTAAATACTTTTAGTCATTTGTTGGACTTAATATACAAAAACATGCATAACAGAGCACTTTTTATAGTTAAAAAAAAAAAGTGACCCAACACATTCCAAGCCTTGATTACTGAAAGCATCACACACAAAAAAAAAATACACTGTGTCTGTAATAATCCTGCAAGCTAATCATCTGTTGCCAGGAAAATCAACTCCAGGCTGAAAAACCAGTGCTTGCTTGCAAATGGCACTTCATTTTGTTTTCACAGGCTTAACAGTATATACGTAGTGTGGAAAGTACGACAAAAAATAATGTAAAATTGCCTGTAGTCCTATCATCACAAAATAATAACTCAACATTTTGCAATACAAATTTTTTTTCTAACTTTCCAATACATGGCATGACTGATTTCTTGTACCATTAAACATTCTCAAACTGGAGTTCTGACGATGACCATAAGATGACTAACCAAATTCCTACCAGTGTACACAATGTTTTAATTACCATAAATAATGTTAGCTATGTATCATGTAAAAGCATTGTGATGGGGGTAGGCATTTGGCCTAGTACTAAACCAACAGTTGGGAAGCTTGAAGCCCATATCAGAGAGCCTGATACAAGTCTTGGGTTCACTCCTGACTCCTCCATCTTTCTGCTGATGGAGCAGCAGTTATCAGCTCCAGTAGCTGAGGCCCATGAGGCCTTGCCACTTGGGAGACCTACAGTGAATCCCGGGTTCCTGGCTTTGGTCTAGCTGAGGATCCTTGCACACACTTGTGGAATGAACAAAAGAACGAAGCATTCTGCCCCGGTCTGTCTTTGACTCTTCCCCCACTGCTTGCATCTATCCACCCCCACACACAGTTGTTTTAAAATAAAATAAACCCTGCTTATTTTTCATTATTTCCTTTAGGTTACTTTAGGGACTGGAATGCCTGCAACACTGGTATCCCATATCAGACCCTCCAGTGTGAAGATGATACCCAACTCATGGTAATATCAAGGAAAATCTATTATATAAGCAAAATACAGAAATTCTTTGTTTAACAAGCATGATTTGCAAAAGTATTACTTCAAAAGGGAAATTTTGTATAAAAATTGTTTTAATTCCCAAATGTTTTTAATTGGTGATACTTATTGCAAATACATATCCTAAATTTTCCTGAACACCTGAACCCAAACATAAATATGTGTATATCCTAGGAATGCTCATTAACTACTGTGTTACACTATTTGCTACTGGGAGATACTAGAGCATTAAGCATCCATTGCTTTTATTTTAGATTTAGCCTCAGATTACCTTCAGTTTCTAATTCTTACACATCAGCTTGGTGGTTTTTCCTGCCTAACACTTTATTTCTGATGGAGTCTCATCATTCACCTGTGGATGTGCTCGGGCAGCCTGTCACATGTGACCAAAGCCAACTACAACCATTGGAATTATGCACTGACTAAGTACTCTGACAAGTGGGGAAAGTGTTTGGAAAGAACAAGAAAATAACAAACTAGAAAAAAAAAATGATGATTAACAGAACCAAACTCCACAAAGAAAAGAAGCAGGGTGAGGGTGGAACAAATAGAATTTGCTGTAAAGATGTGAATTTCATCAGAGCAAATTCAGTGGCCTAGTATGGCCGGATGACTGATCACGCTTTATTCCAGAGGGAATGTGGTGATGTAATTAAAGTCCAATTCTCTGAAAGAGAGATCTGTGTCTCTCTGGGAAGAGAAAAATGAAACAAGCAAGGACATAGCTAAATGTGTGGTTAGGAAGATAGGTTTCCATGTGGGAAGTGTGATGAGGATGGCGTCTTACAGACTTCAATCATGTCAGATTGGAGGCAACTCCTAGACCGGGAGTATTGAAGGTACTGGGGTGGAGGCTTAAGAGAAACAGCAACTATCTAAAGACAGCTGCTTGCTGGAAGAGAGAGGTGAATTTATCAAACATGCTTTAAAAAGGAGTGCCAAGGGACTGGCTCTGTGGCAAGGTAGGATTTTGCTGTTATTGTATCTTTATTCTTTTTCTTTTCTTTCTAATATTGTTTACATGGTTGAGAGTGATGGCATGGATATATGGTTCTCCAATTAGGGAGGGGAGGGTGAATCGGACAAATGTTTCCATGTTTTTTTTTTTTTCCCCTAGGTCTGCAGGGAGGGAAGGAGAGACGGACATTGCTTGCTGTCGGGGTACATTAGGACTTGGGGATGGGGTACAGCCTCCACCTGCAGTGCTGCCATCTCACATGGGTGCTGGTTCAAGTCCTGGATGCTCCACTCCCAATCCAGCTTCCAGAAAGCAGTGAAAGATGGCCCAAGTTGGAACCATGCATGCATGTGGGAGAACCAGAAGAACCTCCTGGTTCATAGTTTTGAAAGGGTTCACCACTGGCCTTTGTGGACATTATGGAATACACCAGTAGATGAAAGATCTTTCTCTGTTTCTCCTGCTCTTTCTGCAAATTTGCCTTTCAGATAAAAATAGATAACGCAGAGCAATGGTTTAGCTACAGTGTTAAGCTGTACATTTGTAACGAGCTAATCAAAGGAGGACTTTATTCAGTTCTAAGTTATCTTAGCAAAGGATGGGAGAAGCCATGGCTGTGCTGATCCAAGACTGGTGATTTGAAGATCGGAGAGTTGAGCTGAAGACAGCAATCTAATGAACCGATTTGCCTCTTTATATCTAGTGCAATTTATTAATTGCAAATGAATTTATCCTCCTCTGGCGTCACATTTTATTCAGATCCAGCATTCTCTTTCAAGAATAAAGTCCTCTGGGACCGTAAATCTCTCTCTGTGTTACTTCTTCCCATTAATCCTGTCTAGTTCGCTTCCTTAAAACCGTAACTACACTCTGACCCCCATGGACCTCTGTATGGGTCGTTCCTTCTGAACCTATCACCCTCTTCTCCACCTATTTCCTCCTACCCATCTTACATAACTCAGGTCATGTAGCAATCATTTCTCTTGAAAACCTTTTCTCATGAGCTTTTTAGCTCCCATCCGGATTACAGACTCCTCAAAGCAGAGCATGCTGGCCACACTACAAATTCATTCTAACTTGCCTTTTCTTCCTGGTTGCCCGTAAGGTTGCCTCTCTGGAAGGCAACTTCATATATTCTATTGTGAGCATGCAAGACCTAGCACAGGGTTTTGTAATTTGAATAATTACAAAACAGTGCCAAACAGAAAAACGGAATGGTAATATTTGAAAAGAATTTGCTATTGTCTAAGATGATAAGAGGTGGCTCACAGTGAAGTTAAAGAAATGATATTCAGTGGCAACTATCATCAATTAAATCCACATCTGCACGGAATTACAGTCCAAGTGGTATATCAGAACTAAATCTCCAATCCAACAGTGGTTACAGGCTATCCAGTTAAAACAGAAATACCCCTTCAGCTACAGCAGCCAAAGCCACTGCATCATGTGACAGGAGAAAATGCTTTTTGCTCTCTATGGTTCCATGGAAAGCATTCTTCATATGTCTGTGAAGTGAACACATGGTACACCATTCTTACCATCATGCTTTATTTAACTTCTGTACTTTAAAAATAATATCATAGGGCCCAGTACAGTAGCCTAGTAGCTAAAGTCCTGGCCTTGCATGTGCCAGGATCCCATAGGGACATCAGTTCATGTCCCAGTAGCTCCACTGCCCATCCAGGTTCCCGCTTGTGGCCTGGGAAAGCAGTAGAAAATGGCGCAAGGTCTCAGGACTCTGCACCCCTATGGAAGACCAAAAAGAAGTCCCTGGCTCCTGGCTTCGGATCAGCTTAGTTCTGGCTGTTTCGGCCACCTAGAGAATGAACCAATGGATGGAAGATCTTTCTCTTTGTCTCTCCTCTTTGTAAATTTGACTTTCCAATAACAATAACTTTAAAAACTTAAAAATAGCATTACATCATGTGTATTTAGAGAAATAAAATTCAGGGGAACAGGTGGCACAGCAATGAAGACATCGCTTGGGAAGCAGGCTGTGCTTCTGATCGCAGCTTCCTGGTAATGAACACTGAGAGGCAGAAGGTGAACTGGGTTCTGAGCTACAGGAGGCCCCAGATGGAACACCTGGCTCCTGGCTTCAGCCTAGCCCAGCCTGGTAGCCTGTGGGCATCTGAGGAGTAAACTCGTAGTTGGGAGATCTCTGCCACTGTCCTTCAAATAATAAAACATCTTTAAAAACTTAAATATGAGGAGAAAAAAAAACCCACTCAGAATCTTCCTCTAATGGACAACCCTCTTTTTTTTTAAAGATTTATTTATTTTTATTAAAGACTCAGATATACAGAGAGGAGGAGAGTCGGAGCGGAAGATCTTTCTGTCTCTCCTTTTCTTTGTGAATTTGGCTTTCCAATAATAATAACTTTAAAAACTAAAAAAAAAAAATAGCATTGCATCATGTGTATTTAGAGAAATAAAATTCAGGGGAACATCCGTTGACTCACTCCATCCGTTGACTCACTCCCAAAATGGCTGCAATGGCCAGGACTAAACTGATCTGAAGCCAGAAGCCAAGAGCCTCCTCTTGGTCTCCCACAGATGTGCAGGGTCCCAAGGTTTTTGGGCTGTCTTCGACTGCTTTCCCAGGCTACAAGTAGGGAGTTGGATGGGAAGTGGGGCTGCCGGGGTTAGAACCGGTGCTCAAATGGGATCCTGGCATGTGAAAGGCAAGGACTTGAGCCGCAAGGCTATCGTGCTGGCCCACAACCCTCATTTTTAATGAAGCAAACATTATAAGAAAAGCAAAATCTAGATCTCAGCTTTGAGTATTCGTGTGATAACTACATCTGTGTTCATGCCAACCCCTTTTATAATCATGTTTAAGCTGATTGATTCCAGGCAAATTTCTAAGCCACTTATTCTCTTCCTGTCACAAAATCTCCATCCTGTCTTGTGATATTTTAAATATTGGTGAAGTATTCAGACACTCAAAGAATCTTTATTTTTGCAAAAAAAAAAAATATTGCCATTGCTCTAAGATAATTAACCAAGCAAGTTCTTTCGGGCAAAGCCCTAATCTCTCCTGACAGTTTGTCATTTATAAAACTCAGATAAATCCCTGCCTTTGGGGATTTCTAAAAAGTTTGCAGCTACTCACATATGCATATATAAAGCAACTATCGTGGCATTTAGCACACCCTTTTCTAATCCCATGAAGTCTTTGGCTTTTTATTTTCTGTATTTTGTAATCCAACATAAAGTTGTTGGTACAGATGTATGTAATTTAATTTTATTTTTTTGAAACACTGATAATACACAGAAGTGTGTTCACGCACAAGCATATTCACAGATATTGTGTTTGCGGGTGCATTTCCCAAATATAAATATACGACGTGTACTAATTTGAGGGCTATATATTCTGCTTCCCTGGGGATAGACACCTGCTGAATTCAGTAACACTAAGAGTGTGGATGGCTAACAAACACAGAAGAAACAATTCATTCCTTTGAAGCCAAAAATATTCTGTAAAGAAGTTATTTTCACAGAGTGGTATAGAGCTGGTCGAATTCACAACAGAGTTAGAGATTCTTTGTTCCATACACTGCTTTGCAAGTTTGGTTTTAGCTGGAACTGGGAACTCAGACTCACGAAGAGTTCCTACTCTGCCAACTGCTAAATCATTACATGAAATTGTGCATGTAAAAAATATGGTTCATGATACACACCTGCTCTCCTCTGGCATTCTGAAATACAGCAGTATTTATCATGAATCAAAACAGTTTCTCCCATTTCCATTTTTAGATTTCTTTTGGTATCTGTGTGTATCATTTAGGAATAGCAGTGAGTAGAGACTGAACAATCACAACACAATTATACACACTGAGCGATACGCAGTACCAGGCAGAAGGCGAGACATGAACTACCATCTTATCAAAGTTTCCTGCTAAGATACAGCCAATTTTAGAAACATAAATTTTATGTGATGTGTACTTCATGTTAAACTCTTAGGACATAGGAAAATCCTCTCTAAATTGCTGCTATTTTAGCAATTATAGTTTTTAAAAATTATTTTTATTATTTTCCTTCATATAGTTTTGTATCCTTTCTTTTCCACCCTCCCCAATTTCCCTTCCCGATATTTCCATCGCAAAATATAGCAATTTCACTTTCCTAGAAAATGATTTTCCTCTCGGGAATGATAATCAAATCAGGAGATACTAATTACCTTACAGATTATTATTAATTTTTAATCTTGAGAAACAGGAGCGTGAGCCTCTGAGCTCTGAAAGCTCGTCCCGGAGTAGTGAACTTACATTTTTTTGCAGTGTGGGCATTTTGCCAGAGTGTTGAACCTCAGTTCCATCCACTGTAAAATAAATAAAGAAGGATTGAAAAGAAAAACAACTGCAAGCGATTTGATCTGATAAAATGTTTCTTTTCGTTTTCATGTCAGCAGAGATCACAGCCGAAGCATGAACCTTCTCAGGGTTCCAGGAACTCTCCCTCTGACTCTCCTCTCCCTGCATCTTAAGCAAGGTTCAGGACGCCGCGCTGGGACAGTTCCCATGACTCTGCTATGGTTCTGACGCAATGCAGGCTCGCTTTACAACAGAGACTAAACATTACGCTAAAATTAACGTCATCTTTTTGGTTTTCATATTTCATGTGCCTTCAGACTTATAAATTAAACTTTAAATTTTGAAGGCCACATTTCTAAATAGTTGAATCTTTGCATTCACGAGCACAGCACAGCTTTTTACATGAGTCTCAAAGCGTATGTTCAAAATAGGTAGAGCTAAAGTCAAAAAATTATTTAGCAAAAAAATAACTTCTATGGTACAATTTTCTCTTTCTATTTTCTTCCCTATACCTTCCTCACAGCAATGTTATTCATACACTTGAAATAGCAACATGCAATGTGAATTTAAAGTAAACTTTCCCCAATAAAACATACTCTATAAACGGTTTCTAATCTTTTAAAAATTTTTCCTATATACCTTTTTCATAAAGAGTACTTTGTAATATAATTTAAGGAGAATTTCTTTATGTACTTCAAATGTTTTAGCATCAGAACTACATTATCTTTTATCAAAACTGATTTTTTTTTCTTAGGATTTCACGTCACCAGTTTTGCTTTTCAGAAGGTTCAAATTTTAGGTACAGTGAGCTTTCGAAAATATATATATTATACATGTATATATATATGTATACATGTTCAAATATATTCTACCCAGAAGCTAATGTTTAAATCTCATACTTTTTAATTTTTTTTCTTTTATGACTAGATTGAAGAAATGAAAAAACAAATTTGGGCTTTCTGGAGTGCATTTTCCCCATTTTTATTTCAAGTCCTAGGAAATTTGGCTGACCTAGATGCGATCTCCCCATCTCGGAGACACAGTACATATAGTCTCAGGATAAACAAGCCAGAAGGCAAACTTCACAAAGACCTTCACTCTTTTCTAAATGATTGTTTTTCAACAATGTCAAACTGAGGCAACATGTTTCTTCAAGCAGCAACAAATCTCTCTCAGTAGTTACACTTTGTAAGAATTTTATTTATTTTAATGTTACTCTACTGAATACGACTACTGTAAGCATTCATGCATTAAGTAGAAAGTTATAAAAACATTTGTGCACATATAGACATTTCTAGTTTATACTGTACTTTCTTTAGGACCACATGAGTCATGCACTGACATCTGTTCCTCCAGGAAGGTCCTTGACACTCTTTTTCAACACTCTAGCGATGCACTGATATTTTTGCTACATGTTCATCAACTTCACATTGATGAAAATTTACTATGTTTTCCTTATTGTGGGCTGTTTACACTGGCTCTGTATTTGAGGGGATGCATAACGGAAGTGTAGCGGAAACTGATATGCTCAGAGGTGGAGACAGAGAGCAGTGTGTCTCTATGCATGCAGAACAAGGATGGACTCCCAGTGAAATGGCTGAAGATGTCCTGACAGTCGGATGCAGGAGTCTCCAACACTGTCCATGCCTACATTGTCAAGAGACACTTCAATGGCAGCATGATGGACCTATGAATGTTCATGAAAGACACCCACTGTAAAACTAGAAGGGAAATCAGTGGAAGGGAGGGAACTTGAAGAGGGGGATAAGAAGTTCCAATGCCTATGAAACTGTATCGTAACAAAAGCTGGGTTTGAGGGCATGTTTGCTGGGCTAGGCTTCAGTAACCACCTGCAAGTATTGGAGCAGGCTGTGGACCACGTCAGGCTGGACCACGGCACCCAGAAGAACGCGAGAGAACCAGATCTGGGGGCAGATTCTGTAGGGGAATTGTGTGTTCGCCTCCATGGGACTTCTGCAGCCACCATTTGTGTGGAGAGTTAAGGATGGTGATGGACCAAGCCAGACCACAGAACTCAACTGACAGGAACCTACCTGACACAGTAACTGGGGCTGGGAGGAGGCTCCCAACTAGACCACTGGACCCAGGCCTGGGCTATAGGGAAAATCACAGGATATGTGGTGTGTCCTTGGAGTACGTGTATCCATACTCGGCCTCCTCAGTTGCTAAGGCCTGTGCAGTGGGCAGTATATCCAGATGCACATGAGGGACATGACAGCTAGCTCATCTAAGCCTGCAGGGCACATCAGCAGGCTTGTCAGAGGATGGAAAACAGAATAGGTTAGACAGTTCTCCTGGCCAAGGTTTGCAGCATGTGACTGGCTGTGTGGGTGCACTAAGGTGGGCTATGTCAACTAAGAGATCTTGGAAAGATTTTCTCAATCCTGGCACAACAAAACCAGTGACCTCTCAGAACTATCACAAGCACTCAAGCAACACCCTTGGAACATTCTTCACCACATCAGGGTCTCGAAGAGGACACCAAATGTCCACCCCTCATCCTCAAATGCCAATGCAGTTTGGCAGCAAGGACTGGCCTCCTCCGCTTCCCTTCCCTCCTGTCCCTGAAGATACAGGAGAAGAAACAAAATAAAACAAACAAACACTGAAACATTTGTCCCACCCACCCTCCTCCATAGGTGACCCTCCAGTACCCTATTCAGAAGCCCACATGGGCATGTATCTCTCCCAAGTACATAAACAATATGAAAATCAAAGATTAAAAAAAAAAAAAGAACAGAAGGGGAAAGGAGAAGATTAACTCAAAATCCAACAGTGAAGACTAAGACATCCACATAGAAATTCTAGTACTTTAGATAACTAACCTAAGGAGACTTCCTAGTCCAACATTATAATTTAGGATACTCCTAATTTTAACATAAAATATTCATGGCAAAGTCAATGAAGGCTGAGAAACGATTCCAATTTTATTATGTAACTAGTAAGTTACATAGCAGCAAGGCAACACATCTGGTTTTGTAATCTGAAGGTACAGGCTCCCCTCAGTCCACAAGAGACTGGTTCCAAGACACCCCAATAGATGCTGAAATACCACGATGCTAAGGTTTCTAATATGAACTGAAGTCCTATTTGTATGTAACCAACTCACATCATTTAGTAGTTATTTAATAATATCCAGCTAAAATGTGTACATATTTTATGGATATAATAGGCGGCTGACTTATTTGTTGTCTATTATAACTAACACATTTGTCTCTGTGTTCAAGTGAAGAAAATATGACTGCAAGAGAGCAGAAAGCTTTCTTATTTCATGACTATGTTTGACCCACTCTGTAATTCAGGTACATGTTTGGTTGACTTTATTAAACAGTGTGAATTCCTGGCAAACTTAGCTTCAGATTCTAATATACCAATAAATTAAATAATGTTACTATATAAAGAGAAGGATCCTAGCGCTGACGTTGTGGCATAGCCAGTTAAGCCACTGCCTGCAATACTAGCATTTCACAGTGGGTGCTGGGTCTAGTCCCAGCTACTCCATTTCCAATCTAGCTCTCCGCTAATGAATGTACTCAGGAAAACAGTGGGGAAAGACTCATGTGTTTGGTGCCACCCAGGTGTGAGATCATGATTAAGCTCCTGGCTGCTGGCTTTAGCCTTGTTCAGCCCCAGATTTTACAACTATTTGGAGAGTGAATCTGTGGGTGGAAGATCACTCCCCTTCTAGCTCTGTAACTCTGCCTTTCAAATAAACAAATTTCCAAAGAGAGAGAGAGAGAGAGAGAGATATTAAGGATATAGTCCAAAGTATTGCTCTTGTATCTTAACCCATGCAAAAATTCTCTCCAGTCTCAGTATTTCCAATAAGTTTTTTTCCTATGATCTCTTTGCCTAAATATTATGAATATCTTCTAATAAATCACATTTCTCTCTTCATGAACTCTAGAAAACTTACATCTAATTTTATCAGCTATGCAGGGCTGAATAATATGCATTGCCTCATGATACATGTTTCATTCTAGCTTTTATTCTTCTTGACTTTTTTAATCTTTTCAATCCTTTTGAATTGAATAGAACTTTTTTTAACTTCTCAATAGATTTTTGAACTTTGAAAGCCAAAGTTGAAGCAAAATGAGGAAGAATCAAATGAATTATTCCAATAATCAAAGTTTCAAGGGTAAAAAATTCACTGCAAAATAAATATAATTATTCATGATGATCTGAATAGCAATGATAAGGCTGCAAGTCAGAATTAAGAGCTTATAGCTAGCATATTCTTCATAACATGAAACATTTCTCACTAATTTGAAAATTCCAAGCCAGCACCCATATGAGATCCCGGTGCATGCAAGGCAAGGACGTCAGCCACCAGGCTATCATGCCAGACACTTAAATATATTGTAATATATTAAGATGTTGCTGTTGAAAACACCCATTTTACTAAAAAATTAAAATTTTATAATAACTACACTCATATGACTCATTTGTCTGCACTGAACAGTAAGTAAGAAACAGCCAGTTTTTGAAGCTAATCTCCAGTTTGCATACTATTTTAGTATTTGAAGAGGGAGAAATTTCTAAACACATAAATTATTTTTAAATACAATTTAAGAATCTGACCTAAGAGTTAAAGATCCAGGAGATAAAATGTTAGTATGGGGATTCAACTCTCAGTTCCAAGTCCTAATTCCAACTTCCTGCTAAAGCAGAACTCGGGACAATGAAGATTGTCAGTACTTGAGTCCCTGTCACCTGCTTATCAGATCTGCATCCAATTCTCATATCCCAGTTTTTGTGTGGCACAATGCCAGCTGTACGTAGCATTTGAAAAGGGAACTGGCATTTGGGAATTTTCTTTCTTTCTGTCTCATCTCCCTCTCAAACAAAGTTGAGGAAAAAGACAATCACAGAAACCATGCCACAGAAATACCCATCTGAACTCTCAATTTGGATGATGCTCTAGAATTCACTGACAGATGATTTTGAAATAGTAAATACATATATTTGCAAAGGTTATAATTGACTT